CGCTCGTTCGAACAAACGACAATCGTTGCAGTAACAACAGTGCCCAAGCTGAGGATCCTTTCGATGTTTCTCGACGGTTTGTCGAGGAAACCGAACCGGACTGGACTTTGGAGAATCGATAGGCGTTAGCGACGACCGTTCGCCCGATTCCTCGACCGAATCTTTGTCGTCGTAATGCTGGTCACAGCAACAGGTTGCGCTCGATTCGCTTCTCGGCGTTGGATCGTAGTATGGACTTTTTACGCAAGAACAGGAATCGATCTGGCGTACCACGGACCACCTCTTTTCGATATTGTTCCGGTTCGTTGGAAAATCAGCTCGACTCGGTAGTAACTTTGGATTCGAGTCGCGAGGAAATGGTCGTCGATCTTTTCTTCGATTTCGTTGCACGGCAGTCCGAAACTTACCGCGAGAAACGCTCGTTCCGTTCTCCAAATCAAGATCGTTCCCGTTTCCGGTGGCGCAGCACTTATCGACGTTTTCGAAATCACGTTCCACCGTCTCCGACTTGGTTCCATTGAGAGAATCGAACCGTTCTTCGCCTCGTCGAGTGTTGCACGATGGTTCTTCAACCGCATTGTTTTTGCAAGTTACAGTTTGTTCCGATAAAATGTTTGCTCCTCCGTTTCCACCAGCGCGGCTCCTTCGACTCTTCGGATTCCTCGTTCCAAAGCACCGACAGCAGTCTCTTTCAAACACTGGTAATTTCGTTTCGCGACGCGTGGGTCGTTCGATTCGTTTATAATTACAACTTTTCAAGGCTCTTCTGTTGGCTAATATCGACCGTGATCCACGAAATCGACGACGTTTTAGCTCTTTCTCGTTTTTTATCAATTCTTCGCAACGAAGAATTTCTGAACTGTTTAAATCGTCCGTGATTGGAAACAAAGTGGTGCATTTCGACTGAAAAACTCGCGGATCGGCGGGATCGCATTTGCATCCCGAATATACGAAGGGTGGACGAGCAAGATCTTTGTTTCTTGCAACGAACAATGGCACGGACGAACCTTTACGATTCATTCTCTGTCGACAATCACCGCCATGTTCGTTCTCTAACCGTTCCAAGTTTCCTTCTGACCAGCTCTCGCTGATTTCAAAGTTCCTCGATCGCCATTTCGTTGGATCATTCGCATGGTGTTGTCGGATAAATTTAGAGGGAAAAGTTGTGTAATCGGTGGTCCGTGGTTGCGAAACATGATCGATAGATCGAGATACTTGGTAAGATGATTTTAGAGAATATTTAACGGGCGAACTCGCACGGGCCAAAAACTCTTTGGCCTTTCTTGATCTTCCTAAATCTGAATCGATACGAGTGTCTTTTTTGTAACCTTCATCATCTTCGTCTTCTTCTTCTTCTTCTTCTTCTTGGTCTCTATTATCTCGCTGAAAGGCTCTCTCGAGTTTCTTCAAATAATTTAAGAGGTCTTTCCTTTTTAAAATTTCGCTGAGACATTTTGCTGCTCGAGGCTCGCATCTCGTATCCGTACATGGTATTCTCTTAAACTTTTCCTTATCGTTCATGCCACGTGAAACACAACTCTATTGATTTTTGTACTACGCTTACACGAGTATGTTTTATTCGACTGGGCTTGATTGAAACCAATTGGAAACTTGGTTCCTCTAACGGAACGGAACGATCAAAATCTCAATGATTCACGCCATACTTTACCCAAATAAATACGCTAGGTTACAATAAACTGAAGATACGTGCGATTCGATTCGATAAATTTCGCGAGAACGATAGTCATTTGCAGCGATTAATCGTTGAAAGATGAAGAAGGTTACGATAAGCAGCGATAAAAAAATACAAAGTTGCTGATATGGACGACAACATAAACTTTTCTTGCAAGTTATTCAAAATGGAAAATTCGATACTTTTGCGGTACAATATGCCTAATGGATCTTCGAAAGACGCCTTCATCGACGACACCATCGAACGAATAAACGTTCTCAAAAAAGATATCGAAAGATTCATCGAGACCCGGCCGATCGAAATCGCTACGATCCTCGCTGCTTGTAGTCTTGTTTATTGGATTCGACGGCACATTGCTATATAAATAAATCGCCAGTAAAATTTTTAACGGTCAAAGGAAACAAGGTAAATATTAACGTTACGGAAGATCGTATCTTACGATAATAATGAACGAAACATTATTGCGTCTTCCGATAATCCTTTGCTGTCGCGCTTACAAACTTTCTTTCCTTTTGTTCAGTTTGTCTCGAGCTCGGCTCGATTCTCGTGACAAGCACAATTTCTGAAAACAACGTTCGTTTCGTCTCGAAAGGTCTGTTTTTTTTCACCCCCGATGCAACGACGCGACGCAGTCGCAAGTAAATTGAAGAAATTAGCTGGCACCGAATACACGCAATCACGCGATTCTACACGGAAAATGAATACACGTAGATGTTCGTATTGTGCCAGATTTGCGGAAAAGAAGCTTTACCCGCGAGACGAGCAAACTGCATTTTCTATGAAATCCCGAGAAGAATTCGAATCGCAAGCACGCGATTTCAAGTTAATAATTACCGGGTCGCGGAATAATTGATGAGATTATTCTTTGAAATGTAACATTGTAGTCGTATTCGATATTATTCGGAATATTACTCGAAAGTTTCTTTATCATGAAATTTATTCAGTTTGTAAACGTACACAAGGCGAACAACACAAGTGGCGCACTCGTCTGGAAACGTCACGATGTCACAGATATGTTAAAAATTTCGATGCACTATCCCAGTGAAAGATAGAAAGCTCTTACTTGCTTATCGATCTTTTATGTACATCACGTGTACATGGATACGTGCATACACTGGACAGCAAAACTGATTAAGATGTTCGTAATTGTTTGTCTACCCTGTGCATACTTGCCACCACGTAAATTATCGACACTTTGAAAGGTGATTAAAAATTTCGATTATCGGTCACGATTTTCCGAGATCCAATTAGCAAGACCAAATTAATAATATATTAATTAGGTGCTGGTGGAACGTTGCACCCGTGTCGTTCGTACCGCGTCATAGTCATACGAGGCGTGCATGCTGATGGTATTGGGGAACAATAGCGTATTCCCTATTTCAAATTAATTAAAGAAACGTTATTTAAAATAGCGTCTTCTTTCCTTGTTATTATCCGCGACCGATCTGGTGGTCAGCATTTTCTAAACCGTCGACACAACTCACTCGGATCGTGGTCGATCGAAAAAGTTTCCCAACTGTTGGTTTAACAACAGGTCGAATGTTCCCGGTACGAATAAAGTTGCGTAAAGTTAAAGGTAATCGTTAATCGTAAAGGTAAAGGTAAACGTAAAGGTCAACGTTGGTGGTTGCGTTACGGCGTGGGCAGCAGCATTATCTCGAAGAATGCAACGTAAGAGATTGATTCCCGTTACGAAGGGAAGAGCAACGATTCGGAACTGTTTCGTCGGTGTGTTTTTCCTCCCTCGTTCTACGGACCAACCCCGACGAACAACTGTAAAACGCATCGCTGCCCACCTTACAATCAACCTGGCTATTTCTGTTTCATCATCGCTCCGAAAACATCTCGATACATTGTTCGAAATATCGTATTCGGATATGGCGGTCGGCGCCAGGAACCGTTCTATTTTACAACCGAATCTTTTCGTCTTGCGTAATCTTGTCGTAAAGACCGAAACTGAATATACTATATGCATGTACCTACGTGCAGATAGGTACGGTATACCTTTTACGATCGAATCTTGCCTGGAATCGGCGGAATAATAAAATTCCATGTCAACGAATTTTCGCGCATTCCCGATGGATAATTGCCTATTATCTGTAAAGTATCGCCTTCGAAAGAAAGTTTCCTGGCTGCGAATCATCGATTTTAAGGGAAAGTATATGGAGGAGTACGGAGAGCCAGGCTCGTTTCCAACGATTACACACGAGTGACCGATCCGTGAAGAAAAGCTGCTGGCTCACCGCAGAATCTACCCATACGACGACACAACCACCTCGGGCAACCCTACTGCTCCCTCCCAACCCTTGTCTTTCCACCGTCCGAAACCCCCGTCGATCTATCCTTTTTCTCTCCTCCCATCGGTCTCTTTATCGAGTGAGTCGAGGTTAAGAGGGAATCCTCGGTCCGCTAACTCGACGTCATCCAACCAGCTGACCTCGACGATTCGCAGCGACTGCCTCTTCGTTAACAGCAACCTTTTACCGATCGGTTTCGAGTCTTTTTACCACACCCCGTAGGTATATCTGCCTCCACGCGGAACTACCTTTCCGAACCTGTTGTCTAAATAAATGCCCACGATTGATACACACACGCGCGTCGATTGTTTTCGTTTATTCTCTATTATTCGAATCAAACTTTTGGTAAATTCACCAACGAATCTCGGGAAGAATATTGAACCTCGATTTTGGTAAAACGTCCGTCAGAGATTCGATTCGATTTCGAACAGGGGCAAATCTTTTTATCTTCTAGCTGGACGACACGCGGAATCGAGTTCCCGTGGAAATATCGAAAGTGATCGTGCGTATCGATCTCGATGGCTACACGCGTACACGTACATATCTAAAAAATATCAGATTTCGTTCTTGACAGCTGCTGGCGTGCAGATCTTCTCCGACCGATGAACACGAATATCGGTGACACGCTTCTCGGGATAGGTAATTGACAGTACAGATTCACACATCCATCCATCAACCGTGCACACGCACAAACGAGAAAATGATCGATGAACAGAGAGATAAAGAAAAATAAAAGAGAATAATAAATGCATCGAGTAACGGTTAACCCTTTGCATTCCTACATCAATTTTTATCTCAGGAGCTCCTTCGTCAAACCAAAGAGATATCGTACACTCGAAAATTACAAAATGCAACAACAGTGTAAATAAAACAGATATTTTAACATGGAAATTTCAAATAAAACACTTAAAAAGCGTTGGGAGCTGCTGGTAACAAAATTGAAATATAATTCGGAGTGCAAAGGGTTAATAACGGCGATGGGAATAACGTTATGCGTTTCTTTGTTGCAGAATGATCGTTCGTTCGATCCTATTGTTGGCGGTGACGATCACGTTCGTATTTGCCGATGACAGTTCGTCGTCAGGGAATACTGTTCCCGATAAACGCGGACCTATGGGGTTCCAAGGAATGCGCGGGAAAAAGGACTTTGCGTCCTCGGAGCACGGTCAACCGTCTAAACGGGCACCAATGGGCTTTCAAGTGAAGTATCGACCAATTTCTATATTTCGTCGCGTTTGCTCCTCTTGCAAATGTTTGTCAACGTTTAACGTTACGTAGGGTATGCGAGGAAAGAAAGATTCGATAACGGGTGATATCGAAAACGAACTTATTCCGGAGGAGACCAACAAACGAGCACCGATGGGATTTCAAGGTATGAGGGGTAAAAAGGACAAGCTGATACCAGATTTCGAGGATGGCTATTTTACGGACGACCTGTACGAGAAGAGAGTACCAGCACCGACTGGTTTACAAAGCATCAGAGGGAAAAAGACTTGGCTAACGGATGAATATTATAAACGCGCCCCGATGGGATTTCAGGGGATGAGAGGCAAAAAGTCTTTGCAAGAGGTACAACAGCCTTCGATCGATTCGAAAAATATAAAACTGCGTGTAAATTATTCGCAGAAATACTTGAATAAATTCTACTCTTCCGTATCTTACAGATTTTGAACGATATCGAAAGGAGAGCTGCGTTTACGGGATTCCAGGGCGGAAATAACAAGGAAACGTACTTGCTCGACTATCCGGAAGATTATGAAAAGAGGTTACTGGCGATTAAATACCAAGATATGCGCGATAAAAAGGACGAAATCCTAGAAGAATGGGAGAAGAGGGCTCCGATGGGGTTTCAAGGAATGAGAGGCAAGAAAACGATGCTCGACGCAATAGAGGAACTTGAGAAAAGAGCTATTGTGGGCTTCCACGTAAGTTAAAAACGTCAACTGCATAATCTCCATTTAAATAATCGATATACATGTTATACATATTGTGCAACGATCGCTTAACCCCTTAACGCCCACATTTTTCGGGTAAACCAACAATGATCAGTTTTCTTTATTGGATTTGTTTCTAAAAATACGGTTTTTGTTGATTGCAATGTTGTATCTAACGTATTATTTGAAGGAAAATAAATATTATCATCCCTCAAACCGTTGGATTAAACAAATATTGTTTTTCAAAGCAGTCGGACTCGGGCATGAACGTTAAGGGGTCAAGCAAAAATAAAACGCATCTACGAATATACGTAGAGGGTAAAAATCTGCACAAATTTTCCAGGGGATGCGAGGTAAAAAAGATATATTTGACAACTACGTAGACTACTCGATCAATCCGTCCGATTATGAGAAAAGAGGCACGGATTTTCAAGATACGGAACCTAGCGAATCGTTCAAAAGGGCTCGAATGGGTTTCCACGGGATGAGAGGTAAAAGGGACGCGGCGCAGATTTACGGGCCTAGTTCGAGAACAACGATCGACTATCAAGGTAAATGTTTCGTCGTATCCGCGATATGTACAATATCCATTGTACGAATGTATGTACTTTCCGATTCGATCTCCTAATTATTTCTTTATACACAGGGCCGACGAATGATCGAGGAAACGAACTGGCCGCATACGAAATCGAGAAACGATCGCCCTTCAGATATTTCGGAGTTCGAGGTAAAAAGAATCCGCGATGGGAGTTCCGTGGAAAGTTCGTGGGCGTCAGAGGCAAAAAGTCATTACCTCTGCAACCTCGAGCAGCAGCTTTTTAACGCGGTTAATTAACACCGAAAGGATGCGTATGAATGGAAACTCCTCGACGTGATTAGGTAATTTGTAAAATGTATATTTTGTACGATATTCGTTGAGAAATTGAAACATTCTCTTATGTTTTAGATATCCAGCGGTGGTGTTGCTGCTCTGGTTGGTAACGACAACAACAACCAGCACCATCGATATCAACAATAGCAGCAACAACCAATTGTGCAATGCTAGTCTTCTCGTTTAAACCGATCCACTTAACGAATAGAGAAATGCGAAAACAGGGTGCGCGTCGATTTTATCGCCAGACTATCGACTATCGTCGTTACATTTAGAGCGTTCGTTGCGAAACAATATTTTCCATTTACGCTCTACAATTTCATTCTCATTCCGCGGTCAATGGGCTCGATAAATATCATTTGTTTTATTTTTATTCCGATATCGGCTTTGCCTACTATGAAAATTTACTCTTTCCGCTCGAAACTTTCATCGATGAATAGGGGAAACGCGACGTACTCGAATATCGGTTTTCCTAAAGACGATATACATACGTATGTACAACTCGAAGCAGATGAATGATGTAAGAATAAATGGATAAATTAAAATCGTGATAGGTAGGAATTATATTTTTCTCGGAATGTTGAGGCGCGGATATGTACATGTATATAATAAGCGTTCTCGATGAAACGACGAGTCGTATTACTTGACTACCGTCGTACTTTGGTCGCAAGAACGTGTCGTACACGATTTCCAAGAAGATTTTTAATTCGACGACGAATCTCGCCCAAGTTTTAAGAAAATTCTATCAACACGAGTAAATACCGACGCGCTTTTGTCTATTAGTTGGCTGGCTTACCATTCTCTTATTGAAAAAACTATTTACAGAATCTAATACGAACAATGTTCATTGTGCGAATATATGTACATTTATAAATATAGATGAAAAGATCGACAACGCGTAAGAGCGTGTATTTAGTTCTTATGGAACAGGGATAGTGTTGCTGCAATCACTGTACAGTCTATGTGTCCAAAGCTTAGTTTCATAGTATCGGTTATCCTTTATTCTTGAGTCGCAAGAATCGTTAGAAAGCTTAAATCTGTATAACCATTGCCTTTTCGTACAGTCTCGGACGGCAATGTATGTATGTTCGTACAAGGTTTGTATGTGAAAAAAAACATGTTGCTGATGAACCTCGGAAGAGCATAAATTTTCCACGAGTCACTCAATGTCCTTGTTAAGCATTAAGCACCTGATACCGCGACCAATGTAAGAGTTACATTATTGCGATATACCAAATACCGGAGAAAGAAAGTGACTGGGTATGCAAACGTGTATGGTAATACATGAAAGATATATATCGTATATACATACATCATATACTGTTTGGTAGATACAATGTATGTCTATGTACCTACCATTAACCAAATACATATCAATAAAGTCAATGCATCGTTTTAATCAATCGAACCAATACTTTGAGCTATTTATTATTTGCAACATAGCAAATGTGTCGCATATCGTAAAAAGGAAATTTCCAAAGTTTATGGTAACATTAAAAGCTTCACTTTGCCTTTGGCAGACGCACCTTTTTTGCGAAAAACCTTCAAATAAGGAAAAGGTCCGAAATCGATTCGATCGCAGGAAAGAAAGTTTCTGGCGAAAGACCGAGTTGCGAAACAAAGTCGTACACTTTGTACACGGGCATCAATTGCTTCATTTTTATCCGTCAATTTTACATTGTATACACATATATATAATCAATTCTTGGCCAACACTAAGCAAAGTTGCTACATTTAAAGAAAAAACTAAAAAATATTTACTAAATTTTCGCCACGTGAGCAGAGTGAGGTTAACAGGTATCGGCCAACAGAGTCGGGTAAGTTTTCGTTGATGTTTCAACACAAACGATTCGGTTGTTTCGGTTGGCAGCGATAGAGAATACTTGACGATTCAATGACAATTATAACAGAGCACGTGACATTTTTAAATAAATCAAAAGAAAAATCGTGAAATACAAATCACACCGGTTCCGTGAAACGACGACGGTTCACGAAACGTAACGATACGCTTTTGCTAAAGGTGGCGACACTGTAGCGTTACCACACCACGGAAACCCTAGGATCTTTAATTTTTGCCGCTCAAAAAGAAAATTACCAGCCCAGACGCTCAATCAAAATCTTTTCTTCTTCGAACAGATATTTTGATTGGTGCTTAAACTGGTGTCTTTCCCTTAGAATTATAAAATTAATTCTCTCTGGTTAATATGTAACGTCATAGGTGAAATCGTTCCTAACCTGCATATGTTAACCTGTCAAAATTGTTTAAACTGTAATTTCCATTAGGTAAGTCGTTTCATTTCTAAAAGTTTATTAATTTTCAATGAGTTTACCCGATTATTCGTTTACGTACACGATAACGTACATGATACAGATTCGTACATAAACACAAAGTGGATTCTCGATCATTCAAGTATTTATTTATGTACATATAATACATCACACGACGTATTTCGTATGTTTTAAATACCGTGCCATAAATATTAAATAGTTGTGTACGAATGATTGCCTGCATTACGTCTATATTAATTAAATAATGATAATGTACACTACTGTACACTCGACTATTAACGTTTACACATATGACAAACATCGACGAGTAACGTCAAAATCAATTCTGCATACATATGTATGTATAGAAAGAACTTTCGTACTGTTTCCTTGTATTAATAACGAATAAACATTATATTATCGAGGAAACCTGAAGGTATTCGTAAAACTTTTAAACATTTGCCTATGTATGTATGTCACAAATACTGTATAGTGCATGATACATCATACATACGTTTTCGAAAAAAAATTTAAATAAAAATTGATTTTAACGCGGTACGAATAATAACACTACAAGTCTGCTATATAGAAAAGAATCCTAGCGCTAGAATCCGATGAAAAAGTTCGATTGCAAGTAAAACTAGCATAACAAATGCATCAAGTTGCTAATGAACTGAACAAATTTGACGCATATATCCGATTTGAAAGAGGTTTAATGTTAATTAGAACCAGAGGTCGCTGGAACGGTTCTGAATGAATTTTTATCCGCCCCAAGGGTAGAAGGATTTGATGAAACGAACGTATTCACGGTATTGTCGGGGTTTTCTTCTGATCATTTTGTTGCGTACTGCACGCCACTGCGCCCTCTTGCTAGGTTTTGACTCTGCAATTGCCCTGCAATAGACGATAAACTCGAGATCTCGTACAACCATCTCTAATGCACGTACATACAAAATAGATTCTAATAATAAATAAATAAATAAACAAATTAAAAGACTTGAACGAAGAAAAATGATCTTGACATCAGCATTTATATTACAAACCAATCGTTATCGTCGTCGGCAATTTCTTCTTCCGTTGGGTAATCGTTCTCGTGTATCTTGTTATACAAGTGCACAGGGTTTTCATTTTCGTCTACGGCATTTTCAATGCTTTCTCCGTTGAGAAATTCATCTTGAAAACGTGTAAATATGTTAATGTTAAAATTGTAATAGCGTTAACAAACTCGAAACCTATCATTGATACAGCATACACTAATTACCTGCCCTGATCGACGCAAGTTTTAGTAATTTTGATAACCTCGGTATCTGATTAGATTAAACATGGCGCTAATAGTTTTCAAAGAGTTCTAAAACCGCGGTTGGTCCAATACTAATATTGTATGTTACTATGGTACATGTCACTGACCTTTCAAGTTGCTGAGTACACGAGGATCGTCAAGAGTGGGCCCCACGATCGTCATCAGGTGTTGCTCGCGACTGGGTTTCAGATTGAAATAGGTTTCCTGTGCCCTTTTTCCGCCCCAATTATAAAACGGAATCTCAATTTTCGACATTTTCGACGTTTTTTTATCATTGCTTCCATAGTCGAACCTGCCCCGATTGTCCCGTTCGTTTCGATCGTACATAAAATTGTCCCGTTTCACTCGAGTTAGGACGTTCGACAGAGAGTACGATGGTTTTCCTTGATCGTACGGTACGCGAATGGATTCACGAATGCAGAGGTTCGGCCCGTGCAAGCTTACCCTCCTGTCTCCCCACCAGTAAACCCAACGTTCCTTATTCTGAAGTAAATCCTGAAATTCCTTTGGCAGAAAATAGTTTTTAACGATCGTTCGCTTAACTTTTAGAGCAGGCATGTCAAACACACGCTGATCAATTGAATTTTAAGGCTGACTTTTTCAATGCTAGACAACAGAGATCGCGTTTTCTTCAATTTTGAAACAAACATATCGAATCAAGATTTCATACCAAATCTTGACCTCTCGGTAATGCAGTAAAATAATTTAAATACTATATCCACGCGTGTTTTAAAATAAATTAAGTTAACTGTGTCAAATCCAATAGGCGTTCACTGAAATGTAGATTTCCAAATATTTTGTCAAAGTAGAAAATTAGTTTGAAATATAAATGAATCGTTTGACGTGCCGTCTGCCTTGGAATAAATATGGGAAAACAATGCAACGCCATAACTCGAGCTCACCTTGCCCTTTGGAGTCAAATCGAGCCACGATTCTGTACCTGTCCTTTTCTTCGCACTGATATTCATGTTCGAATCGAGCCCCGGATCACACTCGACGTTTCTACTATTTTGCGGTTCATTTTCTAAAATCAAGATAATACGCGTGTAACGATATATAAAATTCATTTTCTAACAATTCTTATTCCGCAATGGGTTAAATTTAAGGTACATACATGCATTCGTGTGTCGTATAAAAATGTATAGTTACGAAACTGTTACCTGCTACAATGGCGTTTGGATCGGGCTCTTTTCTCATTTCTTCTACCTCGAACGACCCCTCTTTCGACACGTTGCCCCCATTTTTAAACTGGTCAATTTCGGGATCTCCGACAACCACGCATATCAAAAGGGAGACGATTAGCAGCGACGACATCCACATGTCTAAAACAAATCAATCATTTTAGAAGGAATTATTATTTATTAATATAATAAATGGTGCGTGGTGGTGGTGGTGGTTCGTGTTTAATATGAAAAACGAAAACGGTTTCTGGCGTAAAAAAAGTAACGGATGACGCGTGTATTTTCATAAAACTTTAAACAGTATTCGTAAGATCAAAGTAGTATAACATAATAATAACAAGATGCTGCTCTTTTGCTTGTCTGTTCCTGATAGCAATTATTTCATCACTTTGTTCTATACCAATAATCTTTTTATAGTTCTAAATTCAAATTCTATAAAGTAAATTTGAATTCGAATATAGTAAGATTACTATGTTCTATTTAAGCAAGAAAAATAGTAGTATTTGCAGTGGTTTCGTAGAAAACAGCTTGTAACGCTTAGCTCGGTTCATCCTGTACCGGGCTTGTACTGTTAAAATAGAATAATCTCTTGCAAAAATAAGAGAGAAGGGGCACGATATTCCGTCTGATGAGAACGGTGGGTAGTATGCATAATCAGATTTTATGCGAGAACAAAGATATTAGCTCTAACTTTGCTGAAAATGGCATCGTAAGCACACACTGTAATCTTCTTTACGAAAAAATAATCTGCTAATTGCATGCTTCTATTAAAGTCGTATTTATCGTGTACCTAGGAAGAAATATGTATATCGTACGTATAATCGTGTATGTGTTTCTACGCGTACACGTCAAAATGGATTCTCGTAGGTGATACGTTAATACGTAAAAAATATTCGAGTAGTTTTTAATTATTGCGTTTCAATGTCAGTAAGAGAAAGAAAGTTACGAAAATATTATAATATCGCATATTCTTATATCGAGGCTTTTTTCGTCGATCGATGCTTTTACAATAATAGTAAAACAATGACGTATATACAGAGAGGAAGGCGAAATGCACTTTCGTCAGCATACGTGTTAAAATTTAGTTAGCGAACGCTTTCAAACCTGTCATCGAAGTTCTTGTTTGTTTTCAGACGCCATTTATGTTTACGGCCTTACCCCCGATACTGGAAATCTTTTTTCCCGAAAACACGTATTCCACGATCTCCTCTGCGATTTTCTATAATACGTTGCGAGTTCAAAACACTTTTCAAACAATTTATTTGGAACGAAACCTGTACGATTCTACGTTAAAATTAAAATTATCGTTTTTATCGTTCATTAGTTATTGTACTCGAAACAACAAATGCTTTAAATATTTATTTTGGTTCCAACTCTCTGAACATGGTCATTCGAACGATCACATAATTTGATGTTAATGAAATTGGACAAACAGTGTCCTAACTTTCTTATTAAAGATAACGATTAAAAACTAGCATCAATAATTTTGTCCATGTTCATATTTCTTTCGTAAAGACTGTTTTTGTAACGTAACTGGACTAACATAAAAAACTAGACGAAATTCTCGTCTAACGAGTAAAAATGTTGCACAGAGATTAACGACTTGTCACCAATTACCGGTAAAGTAACAATGTTTGTTTGTGTATTATGTTAAATGTGTGTTACGCTCACCTTCGATGGGGCACAACGATTACGATCACTCGATATGAAATAAAATACACGCGTGTATACCTGAAGCACGAGCTTCGGAGTAAAATAAGTTATAGAATGACCAGGAACGATACGCGTCGCTCTTCTTATACCCGCCACGCGGTTCCGCCAGCGCGCTCTCCGATTGGTCCAAAAAATCAACCCCTGCTCTGTTAACCGTCTCTTTCACGCTTACCATCATTGCTCGGTTTAACGTCTTTGTCACTCGGTTTCTTCGCATTTACAACCCTCTCCATTTCGAATCTTCATCCCCCCACTTCCCTGCTGCACTACAGCCATTTTTGTTCCTTTACATTTACCGCGGTAATTGTTGCATATATTTTTCATCGGTACACGAGCTTTTCTCTTCATTTATTTATTATGCATACCGATAATCAGATTAGAAACCGTTTTAAAATTTCAAGGTATAAATGTATCCTCTATCTTCTTTTCTAATTTCTCAGACAACTCAACCACTTGAGGATTCTAGGATTTATCAAAGTTTTTAACGTACATACGTTCTTCTATGTTATCTAACGTTGCTATTTGGTATACTTTTACGAAATAATAATATGCTTCGAGGCGAATAGCCGCGAGCTTGATTATTTTACATAATCGATAGAAATTTACGGTTCGAAAGAATATATCAGTCTATGTATACACGATATTGAATCAGTCTCGAATCATTTAATCTTCACTTTTTCCATAAATATATAAGAGTGGAGATTAAATTCTAGGGTCGGATAATTGACGATCGATATGTTCGTCGTTGGATTACTTTATGTCGAAATTAAAATTGATATTGGACATTTTTCTTTCGTCTATGTAAAATGCAAAGGATCATTCGATCGAAACAACGATTCGACACGTATGTGTACATATTCCACGTGTATTTCAGCAGATTTTTGTTAGTTATACGCGATAACGATCGAACGATTTATCGATTTGTTCGGTGAAAGATGATGACATTTTCAAACTAGAATTTTTTAAGTCAGAAAACATTTTTATAATGAAGAAAAGAATATGCGAAAATGCGAGAAAAATGGGGGTAGCATATGCGCGTAAAGGTTAAAAATGTGTTACTTCGCGTCCTAAAAGATTATCGCACGTTGCCATCGTAAATTTTCGTTCCATGCAACGTAATATTTCAGGTTTGATATTTAACAAAACACTTAAATACGTAACTACCTTTCTAGCTTCTAATTACTAGTATCGGTAATAAGATTATTAGTAATTTGTAGAAATCGTTGTTTGTTGTTGTCAGACTCTCGTGCTTCTAATTCCGCGAGGGAACAGAAGAAGGATCGATGGATAAATAATCCGTCCATCGAGCCGATTTTCCGTTGTCTTTTAATACGAAGTAATTACCAACGAGTAGATAGAGTATGTGCTACTTTAAGTATGGTGGAAAAATGAATGACTTTTCTTATTGTTGCAAAGCGAATAAAATAGCTAGCTGGAAACGCGACTCTAGGGAGGAAACTGTTTTCCAAAGATTGTTCGTTCCAATTGACTCTTGAGGTCGTTGTAACTTCGAAGGTTTCCTCGTTAAAATACATTGGTACGTATAATACGATACTACGTGGAAGAAAACTCACGGTAGTGTTACAAACAGTTAACAAAAATCGTTATTGCTCTCGGTTCTATTAAATTTATCAAAATAAATGATAACACTCGAATGAGTGATACACTTGTTGTTTCAACGCCACTGCTTATGGATAAGAAATTACCAAAACGTGATTGGTTCTTCGGTATTTACGACCACCCTGTCACGATTACGAGCTTTAAGGTTTAAGAGACCGAAACGACTCGAGTTATTGACATATTTGTCGAAATAAATTAACGTTACAGATTTATCCAAGGTGTTAATTCGCAAAACGAGATACTCTGTTTCCTTTCTGCATAAAAAACGGTACACATAATCGTAAGAATTTTACAGTGTGTGAAAGTCGTGCTTAATGCTCGGACTTCTTACGTAATCTAATAAAGTAAAAATCGACCAAGCGCACGTAATTATATTTCACGTCTTTCGTTCGACTAACTTTTCCAAACGAATAGAAAATTAGTACAGTGAAACAGTATGTAGGAATTCGTATATATTTTATTCGTACAACGATGGGCACGCAATCGTATTTAAGCAGTCCTCGCAGAAGGATCGAGCTTCCTTCGTCAACTTACTCGCCAACAAACTGAATTTTAACTCCGTTTTACATTTATTCGGAACAAGAGTACACATGCGTTAATGCACGAGCAGAAGAACTAAAGTTTATTCTTTTCAGATAAGGAACCGATTCACCGTATATTTAAAAGAAAAACTATCGAAAATGGTGAGATAACGTTCTCTGTAACCGAAGAATGTGTGCATTAAGTTATGGTATTTGTTAAAACGATGGCATTCCTGTCTCTTTTTACTTGTCCGTAGAAATTCCGATTTCTAGGCGATGGAGATTGCCCCGATTGGCTCCTGGCAGAAATCAACACTTTGTCCCGCATGGTACGAGCTTTGATCTATTCTATAGTTTCGATTTTATTAGAAAAAAAAGAACAAATATTGTATAGTACAGTTTCACGATTATTTTCTTTCTTCCTAGACGTCTATAAAAATCAAAATATTGGGTCAAACGGTTGCAAAATATCTCACGGAAGGAGAACTTGACGTAAGCGCAAATCCATCATTTATTTTGTATAGCGAAAGAAAACTATAAATAAAGCATGTCTTGTGTACTACATACGCGTAGAATTGTTCAATAATTTTTCAACATATTATAAAACTTTCTAATAATAATTATAATTTTTCCCGTGCTTCCATGTTTGCAGGAAGAAAAAATAAAAAAAATTACCCAAGACGCTAAAGTTGGTAAGTGGAACGAAGTTTATCCCTTCGAAATTAGCTACACGGCACGTTCTTTCGATTCTATCGTTGGTTTTGTTTCTAAATCGCAAAGAATTGGACGATGCAAAGGCTATGGTGGCGGCTCTTGAATTAATTTTCTCGTCATCTGCTCGATATGGGGTTTCCGCCGCCGATTTAAGCAGCGAACTACAACAGCTCGGTCTGCCACGAGAACATAGTGCAGCGATCGCTAGATTGCACACAGATTATTGCCCTCAAATCACAGTTGCTCTGTCCTCGCAATCTTTGAGGGGTAATTACGATTTAAATCCCGTTCGAATATCGCTAAAGTTCTTTCGCGTTGATCGAATAAAAGAATCTGCGTTGTAAAATCTGTTCAGTCAGCCGATTATCATCGATCGAAGTATTGAGTTGCGACGGCTTGTCGCCATTTTCTACGGTGTCTCTCAAGGTAAAGAAATTAGACGGCATCGGGGAAAATTCTACTATCAATATCTCCAAGGATGATGTTCAAGTTCTTTTAACAGGTGAGAATTTAATATTCGCTAATACGTTTATATTTAATTATCACTAATTGTTTGTCCTCCGTTCCCAGAATTACGGAAAGCCAAGTCATTGATGGAGAATCTATAAGTACCTTATATCCATTATACACTTCTGTTTATCAAATAAAACAATAACACAGCGATCTATACTATGAAACAGCTAAACTATCTGTTGTTCACGATTTATTGCATTCCCTCCCTTATTGCAAGCTTTTCGCCCGGTTTTATTCCCATTTACCATACCGATCACTTACCGGAAGTCGAAGTAGTCGATCTTGTAGAACGCGCTTAATGCTAGATCTATATGATCGCATTGAAACGCGGTTTTTCTTTTAGTTACAATACACGTTACTAGGGTTAAACTTGAACGATGAAAGTATCTACTTGGTTTATTTCCAAATCCAATTACTATGTTATTTTTCACCGACGCAGTAACTAAAAATGATAGGCTATAAAAGGGTTTTATAATCTTTAAGTTATAATGTATATTTATTATATTATCATTTTTGTCATATAGCATAACATTGTTATTTCTATAATAATAATAATAATAATAATAATAATAATAATAATAATAATAATAATCATAGCACCATGAACACTCCACAGTAAGTATTTTAATTCGTTATTCGAAAAACGCGACGCGCCGATGCGCTTCAAGGGGTGAGAACCGCGACTTGAATAATATATAATCGTGAAAGACTGCAGTCGCTTATGTTTGTGGTGCAATCTCGTTAAGGACAGAGGACCCGCCTGTGAATGACTAGATGACTTTTTTTTTAACATTAGGAAACGATATTTTTCTGACTAGAACCTTGGCGTACCCGACAGTTAACGTACTCTGATCTATCGTGCCATAGAATGTAGATTGCTTTCATTCGAGAACACCGACTATTTGACCGTGTTATTCGATCGGGTCTGAAATTAGTTGAGAAACGTTTGGATTTAGGAAAACATAGAACACGAACGTCAAGACCGAACGAGAACATTTACCCCGTTAAATTCGAGAGTCGGAACACGTGTTTAATCGGAAAGAAACATCAGCCGGCTTTTTAAATAGATATTCAAATAAAATCCTATCACCGTTCTCACACCCGATAAGCACCGCGTTTTAGGGGTTCGTACAGGTGTCGAGGCTCACATTTCGTAATTCTTTATCGTTATTTCTTTTTTTTGCACAATTAAGTTTGTTTCTATTTTCTTTTGCCCTTGCATCCGTATTACATATGCATATACATATACATGTACATATTTTTATAAATATAGACACATATATGTATACTTATTTGCGTGTGTGTGTGTCTGTGTACGTATGTGTGTGTGTGTATATATATTTTATTCATCTCACCTTCGTATTTGTTCTAAACTGTCTTAGTGAAAGCTCGTTCTCAATATTTATACTCTTCCTCCCTTCAATTTAAATTCGTCTCTTATTTTTCACATACTCGTCGACGTGTGCCTTCGATCGTTCATTACGTATCGATAATAGTTTTATTCATTTATTTATGTCTCTCGTATCCGTTAAATTCGATTTCATAATTTTAACATCCTACCTAAATAGCTGGTCTTTATTACTTGTCAATAAATAATACATAAATACATAGGTACATGCTTCGTCGTCATCACACATTTACTTTCCTAACTTTTTCATTCACGAGTAATGAAACTTTTCTCTCGTTAATAATCGTCTCTCGTAATGATAGGCGACGGTGGCGTTGTTCGTCGCGAAAAGAACAGCAGCAACAACAGTAACAGCAATAGCAATAGTAATGGTGGTACCAATATCAACGACGATGATAACGATAAGAAAAGTAACAACGATAACGATCGTGGTGCCAGCGGTACCGAGATATAATAGTAATAATGCGATGGTTATATTGGCGGTGAGAGTAACGATGACGAATTCTACTACTACTAACGGTAGTAATAATAATAATAATAATAATAATAATCGAAATATTAAATATTAGTCATCACGTTTCAGATGAAGTACCGTGAAACCGTTTTCAGTTTTAGTCTCGCGTTCATAGACGTTAATCGTTATACGTATTTAAACCCATAGTCAGCATCATCGTTATCATTATCATCGTTGTTAAAAGTATTGTAGCATCATTGTCTCTTGTTCTCGTAGAATTTGTCCGGTATCGATCGTTGGTCAACAGAACGTGTATTTTGTGTAACGAAGAGACATGTACGTAAGTAGAAAAATCTGAATAAATTTAAATTTCTCTGCTACGAGACCGAACCAGTCTCGTCTCGTCTCTCTCGCGGGATAACAGCGACCAACGAAATATTTAATAATTCCTTCAGGAGAAAATATCGGAGTCTGCGCATTCTCAGGAGATATCTCAGGTCAGCGAATTATTCGTTGATCGAACGAACGTCATACAGGTCTCGTACGATTCTCATGATCGGTACGACATGACACGACACGACACCGCGATAGATCGCGCCGTTTTGGTCTAATCTGAAAAATGGTGCGGCGCGTTTTTAATTCATAACTTTCTCATTCTCGAACGTGGCATTCCGATTTATTAGAAACGAAACAATCGGCTTCTAGAAAACGCCTACGAACGGATCGTATGGTTACGGGAGGACCAACAACTCTGTTTGGAACGCGTCTCGGATTAAACGGGTCGTGATCAAAGAGGCAAATGGTGCGCATTTTAAACATTTCTCATATCTCGTTTTGAAACGTGGCATTCTGATTCACTAGAAACGAGACGATCGGCTTCTAGAAAACGCCTACGAACGGATTGTATGGTTAGGGGCGATCAACTCTGTTTGGAACGCGTCTCCGGTTGAACGGGTCGTGATTGAACAGAGATTTTCGCCCCAATAAAATTATCGAACGTGGACTTTGTCCATTGGATGAATATTGTACGAATTTATCGCCGTCTCGATTATTTATTCCGACACTTGAACTTCCTTCGGCGCGAGAAGAAGAATCCCTTTCAGCAGATCACCTCTGTACGGGCTCGAATAATTTATCGGAATGGAACATTTACATTCGCAATCATTAACGCGTCACTGGTTTGATTTTCCATCTAAATCTATTCGATTATTAACGACCATCGAAGCTCATCCTTTAAAACTTACGACTGTGTATTTCTATTCTCTATAGTATAGAAACACTGCATAGATAATTCCTATCTAATACTTGACGATGCATATAGTCGTTTATCTATACTCGAATAGACATTTACCACGAGAAAGTTGACCGTTAATCGCGAATCGGATAAATTCGATTAAAATTCGAATCGACCTATTGCCCTCCGAAACATTAAAGCAGTCGACGAAGAATCGTCTTTCTTCATCGTCGGTCTTACTTTTTTTTTAGTCGTTGACACCCTGTATTTCTTCTGTCGTGTACAGTGTTCATATTATCGACCGTTGCCTAGTTCCTGTCTGCTTCGATATCCCTAGACTCCTTTTCTAGTGACCCACTGACCTCTTAAAGCGGCAAACGTTTCGAAATATAAAAGGGTATTTGTTTCGCGATGACGAACATCTCTTCGTATTCCCGACGAATACTAATGGCGGATAGTGGATTCCGTTTAATGAAACTGTAATATTCTGCGTCGATTTTTTAGGATACATCCGATGCGGTGATCGTGACTAGGCTCTGGAATCGATCGTAGGTTTCGTTTTGTTCATCTTGCAAACGTCGAGCTTCGGATCTTTCACAGCCCTTTGCTTCTTAGGTTTCTCCCTTTATTCCTTGCTCTGGCAGTAATGCGTCCAGACGCATACTCTCTGTTCGGCCATTCCAGGTAACTGGCATCTTTAGAAATTGATCATTAAACGATAGACACCGTAGGCTAATTATTTTCTTTACCCAGAGGCGAGTTCGTAGATCGTACACGGGCGGGAAGAAGGGATAATTTTCACGTCCTATATTTACCGTTGTTTTAGCTTTAACGTTCATCTTTTTTTTCTTTTGTTTTTTTGTAACGCGGGTTCGAGGCGGAACAACGGTAAATCGAAGGAGCGAGGAAGAAAAGATCGGTAGAGTTCGGTTACCTAAATCTACGAATAAATCTGGCTAGAATTCGTGCGATAAAGTGTGAGGGTAATTTCTTCTGCCCGGTATAAACTACGAAACTCCGCAAGACCGCGATGGGGCATCGCGATCGATCTCTGAACGAACATGGTGTAGCCTGTTTGTAGGATTTGTCGAAATTCGAGGAACTCGGTAGGTGTATAGTAGGGACGGCGGTTCGCGGCGCCTCGATATTTCATGGAAACGAGTCCAGAAACGAAGCGATGGTGTATTTTCTGGACACCGCTCAGAACTCGACTATTACGGCTGAGCAGGCTGCCAATCCCTAGAATTCGAGTCTGTAGGCACTGCAGCTAGTCTCATGGTCCTGGAGGTTGATCGTGCACCGGGACGCCGACGGCGAGAGGTCGATATGGTTCGTAGCGAGAACCTCCTCGTTGTCGGCAACCCAATAGCCCAAAGTGTCCGTGTCGTAGGTTGGTATTATGGTCACTTCTAAAAAAGGCGTAAAGTTAAGGACGATCCATGAATTGTTCGAACCGCGAGTCGAACCACTTACCGAGATCCTTGTCTTCCCAAGTCTTCTTGGCCTCCAGCAAAGCGTCGTACACTTCTCGGCTTGGCTCGGTGCCGCTGAACACGTAATATCTGGCGCGAACTCTCTTGAAGAAATCCAACGACGTGTAGTAGGAGTTTCCGTAATGCGGTACGTAGGTCAAGTCCACGTAGACCGGTTGGATCTTGTTCTTCGAGTCTTTGATCTTCTTCTCGTTCTTCGCCGGACTCTCGGAGCGTTTCTTGTTCTTGAGATTCTCGGACAGCACCTTCCTCGCCTGTTTCTTCTCCTTCTTGGGAGTGCTCGGCGTGCCTTTGTTGGAAATCTCATTGGTCACTGGAGCTGGGGAAGGCAGCCTGAGCGGTTCACCCCAGTCGACGGTGGCGTCGAAGTTCTGTCTGGCGTCGTTGTTGGAGGTCGTACCGAGTTCGGTGGAGTCCGAGGGCTGCACGGTAGTCTTAAAATTGAACTTTTGCGGCGGTTTGGGAGACGGAAGGCCCAAAGGCGTTCCCCAACCTTCCAACGGGTCTTTCTTCGCGTCGGGCTTCGCGTCCTCGGTACTTTGGTCCGCGTGCTCGTCGGTCACGTCTTGTCGGACACTGCCGTTCGTGTATCTCGGCGACAATCCTCTGGCGAACGACGACTCGGCGGAATCTTTCGACTCCTTGCGCTTCATCAGAGTCTTGAAGTCGAAGTCCGGCTCGTCGACGTACTTGCTCGCGGCGTCCGGCTTGTCCTCGTATTCCTTCTCTACGGTGAACATTTTCGAGGGGTGATCGCTGGGTATCGGAATCGGACCGGAGCTCTTGCGCGCGCCGGTCTCAACGTCTTCCTGGAATGTCTTCATGGCACTGATCTGAGGCGGAACGGCGGGCAGCTCGCCGTAGAAGCTGCTGCTCATCGCAGCCGCGGAGAATCCGACCGACGACGACGACGCGTCCCCCTTACCCGACATTTCCTGGGTGTCGCTCGCGGAAGAATAGTGCCCCGGCTCGGACGATTTCATGCTACCGATTATGCTGCTGATCGCCGATTCGGCGGCATCTTTGCTAGGCAGATACTCGTCCACCTTTACGTCTACCTTCTCCGCCAACACGACCGTCTCGCCTTTCTCGTTGGTCGTCTCCGTTACTTCCCTGGTCGTGGTCACGATCTCCCCGTCGTCCGAGACCGTCTTCGTCGTCGTGATGATCGTTCTGATCACCTCGCCCGATCGGAAACCTTCCGGCGTTCCCGTCAATGATCTGCCCTCGGATCTTCTGTCCGGCGTGGATCTTCCGGATCCGCTGCCGCTAGCGGCCACGTCGGACACGATGTCCCGAACCAGAGGAGACATTGGCTGTCTATCCTTTTGCTTCGCCTCCGTCGAGACGACGGCGGTTTCCTCGATCGTTTCTTCCCCACCTTCTCGTTTTCCCTCCGCGACACCACTACCGAGAACAGTCGTCGTCGATCCTTTCGTTGTTTCGCTCTCCGACGACTCCTCGGTAATCACGATCTTTTTCGTTCTGGTCGTAATCGTTTCCATAGTCTCCGGAACAATTTCCTCGGTCACGATCTCTTTCGCTCTTTCCGACTCCTTCGTCTCGTCGATTTCGCCCTCGGGAACGACGATCTCGCGTTTTATCACTTTTGTTATCACAATCGGTTCGTCTTGCTCGATGATCTCTCGCTTGATGATCTTTCGAATGGTCTCGGGATCGCCCTGGGCCGGAATTTCTCGCTTCGTGATGGTCTCCGAAATTATCTCGGGCTCCTGTTCGTCCACCACTTCTCGTTTCACGATCTTTTTAATTACGATCACTTCGTCGTCGGACACGTCCTCGGACCGTTCCACTCTTTTTACTACCGTCAACGGTTTGTCCGGCTGGTCCAATTCTGGTTTCGTTTTATCAGACTCGTCTTCCGGCTCCCCGATCTTGCTGTCTTTTAATACGGTGACTATTTGCGTGGATTTAATCTCCGCCGTTTCGACAGGGCACGTAATTCCGGCTTTGTCCGGCGACACGCGTACATCGGACGACTTGCTACCGTCGACCATCAATTTATCCTCGACTCTTTCGACGGTGGAGGCGGTGGGTTCGGAAGTCGAGTCTGGCGTTCCGTCGCGAGTTATGTCCGGCGTTGATTTACCTGAGAGCGTCGTGATGTGGGTGGTACGAATCTCTGTCATTCCACCTACGAACGCTTTGTGAAACTGGCTCTCGTAACCCATCGGATAGTCGGACATCGACGTATCCAACTGCTTTCCGCGGGCATCCGAGTACTCGGCCACTTTGTAACCGTAAGACGATTTAATCCCGTCATCCGCGAGTTCGTATCGGGGTTCCGGAGACTTCTCGTAACGATAATCGTCCTTCTCGTAACTCTCGTCCGCCCCGTCTTGGTAGATCTCCCCGTCGACCACCAGCTCCCTCGATATTTTCCTCTTTATGATTATTTCCTCGATTATCTCCAAAATAATGTATCGAGGCAACGAGGTTCGAACGATCACCTCTTCCAAGATCTCTTCCGTGATTTTCTTCCCCTTCTTGATGTACTCTTCCTCCAACAGTTTCTCGATTTCCGTCCTCTTCTCTTCCGAGATCGAGATTTCCTCGTCGATGTGCGGCTCGGAACGAACGGGACTGTCTTGCGTGGATTTGTCGGACGCGATCGGTTCCGAGCTCAAGCTGGGACTTTTCGAACCGCCGCTCGCCTCTTTTCTGTCTCTCGATTGGTCATCCTGCGCCACCGACAGCTCCATGAAACTCTCCTTCGACGCCGTTCGCGTCTCATCTTCTTCGCAAAGTTTCTCTACCTCGTTGTCGATTATCGAACTTCTCACCAGATGATACTTAACGATCATCTCTTTGACGATGGTTATAAGAATCGTTCGCGGCACGTTTTTCAACGCGGAAATTTCGTCGAAAACGGCCGACGTGATTTTCTTACCCTTAACAACAAACTCGTCCGTTAAATAGTTTTCAATTTCGGATCGTTGTTTGGGATCCATCGCAGCATCCTCCTCCTCTTCCTCTTCAAAGTCTACGATCGATTCTCTGCGTATGTTACCGCTCGTAGTGATCATATTTATGATATCCAGTACCACGAACTCTGGCACCGAATAAATCATAACCAATTCCTCTATCACGGCGGTTGTAATCTTTTTCCTCCTACTTATATAATCGAAAATATGTTTCAACACGGCCGCCCTCTTCTCGAATGTCACTTTCACGATGTCCTCTCGCTCGTCTTCTTGATCGATATCGGCCCTGGTACCGACTCTTGCAGCGCTCGTTGCTTTCTCCGTCTCGTACATAATTCCCAGCTCTTTCTCGATCGCTTTCGTAGCAGCGATGCTGATTGTTGTAAGATCCTCTGCCTTGGCCGACGCCTCGGAAGACGAGGACGCTTCCTTTTCCTCGTCCAACGATTTTCCAGCGGTTTTTTCCGTTTCCGCGGGGCACGGCTTCTCCTCGAATATACTCGCGGCTCTCGATCTCGTCAAAGGTGTCTTGTCTCCTGTATATTGAACGCTCTGCGATCGGGATCTATCCTTGGCCGTTTGATCGCCCGTCTGTGAACTCGATACTTGAACATCTTCTTCCACGGTTCTCTTTTTCAGTTCCTCGAGGGCGGAAACAGGTCCTGTTGACTTGCTGGCGTCCTCGATTTCATCCGGACTCGGCGATTTTGGCGGCGGCGGCGGTGGCGGCGACTCCTTGGATTCTTTCGAAATTTGGCTCACGCTTGGTGATCTCGACTTATCGATCACTTTCTCCGCGGATTCCTTCGAATCCGATTTTTCATCGGTAGGCACTTTCGGTTCTCCTAGATCGCTAGTCTGGCTAGGAGATCTCGTTCCAGCGACCGATTTTTCGTCGGCTACGCTCGGAGATTTCGAACGATCTAACACGGGTTCTTCGTGAACGCTCGCCTCGCTGGCCGGTTTTGATTTATCGACAACTTTTGTATCGACGTCTCTTAGATCGATTTCGTCGCCAGGGATGCTCGGTGACTTGGAACGATCCGTCGCGTCTTTGAACTCGCTGGTGATGCTGGTCGCGCTCGGCGATCTCGACGTGTCTTTCAGACCTAACGTTTCCTCGGAAACACCGGGAACGCTGATCACGCTGGCGGATCTAGATTTATCGACTGCCTTATCCTCGACGTCTTTTAGATCGGACTTGTCGCTGCCGACACTAGCAGGCTTCGAACGGTCGAGCGTATCCTTCGAATCGCCCGGAGACGTATCGGTTTCTTTTAAATCTGATGACTTGGATCGATCTTCTTTCAACTCCACGGAAACGGTCGTCACGCTGGGGGATCTAGACTTATCGGTTGCTTGTTCATCGACGTCCATTAAATCGACCTTCTCGCCAGCAATGCTCGGTGATTTTGAATGACTTTTATCGACAGCAGAGCTCGTTATACTAGGAGATCTCGACTTGTCGGCTGCTGTTTCCTCGGCAATTTTCAAATCAGGTTTCTCGGGGGTAGTACTCGGCGATTTCGAACGATCCGTAGATTCTTTTAAATCCTCGGGAACGCTTATCACGCTGGATGATCTAGATTTCCCGATCGTCATTTCGTCGACGTCCTTGGTGTCAGGCTTCTCGCTGGTAACGCTAGGCGATTTCGAATGAGCCAGAGTGTCTTTCGTGTCACTGGCAGGACTGGTTATACTCGGTGACTTGGAATGGGCCAGAGTTTCTTTCGTGTCGCTGGCAGGACTAGGTGATTTCGACTTCTCCGCTTTATCGCAAACGTCCATTAAATCGGGTTTCTCGGTAGTGGTGCTCGGTGACTTTGAAAGAGCTTCTTTCGTTTCCCCGGTAACGCTCGGCGATCTGGATTTATCAGCCGCCTTTTCCTCGATATCTGTTAATTCGGATTTTTCAACGCTCGGTGACTTTGAATGATCCGCGTCGCGTTTAGGCTCTCCGGAAATGCTCGTCACACTAGGCGATCTAGATTTATCAAACGTCTTCGCGTCGACGTCTGCCAAGTGAAGTTTTTCGTCGGCAATGCTCGGTGATTTCGGATGATCCAGCGTTCGTTTGTCGTCGACGGTGGAGCCTGTTACGCCAAGCGATCTCGACTCGTCGAGTTTATCGGTAATGCTAGGAGATTTCGCATCTTTTGTTTCCCCATGAACGCTCGCCACACTGGCTGATCTAGATTTCTCCGGCTGATCTTCGACCTGCTCCTTTACCTCTGGCTTTTCCTCGGTGATGCTCGGTGATTTCTCTCGATCTATCGCGTCTTTCGATTCGCCGAGGGAACTCGTCACGCTGGGCGATCTCGACTTATCGATCAATTTCTCATCGACTTCGTTGATATCGGGTTTCTCGGTAGTGGTGCTCGGGGTCTTGGAACGATCCAGAACTTCCTTCGTTTCACCGAGAACGCTCGATATGCTGGGTGATCTGGACTTGTCGATCTTTTCATCCACGTCTTTTAAGTCGGGTTTCTCCTCGGTAGTGCTTGGTGTCTTCGAACGGTCCAATGAATCTTTCAATTCTGGAGTAACGCTTCTTACGCCAGGCGATACAGATTTATCGACTGCTTTATCATCGTCCACGTCTTTCAAGTCGGGCTTTTCCGCGGTGGTGCTCGGTGTCTTCGAACGATCTACAGCTTCAATTGATTCTCCAGCAACGCTTATCACGCTAGGTGATCTAGATTTATCGACCGCTTTATCGTCCACGTCTTTCAAATCGGGTTTCTCTTCGGTGGTGCTCGGTGTCTTTGAAGCAATCAGTGTTTCCTTAGTGTCACCGGTAGGACTCGCGGTAGGAGATCTGGACTTGTCGACTTCTTTTAAATCGGGTTTCTCCTCGGTGGTGCTCGGTGTCTTCGATCGATCCGGAGTCACTTTCGATTCTCCAGGAACGCTTGTTACGCTAGGTGATCTAGATTTATCGACCACTTTATCGTCCACGTCTTTCAAATCAGGTTTCTCCTCGGTGGTGCTCGGTGTCTTCGATCGATCCGGAGTTACTTTCGATTCTCCAGGAACGCTTGTTACGCTAGGTGATCTAGATTTATCGACCACTTTATCGTCCACGTCTTTCAAATCGGGTTTCTCTTCGGTGGTGCTCGGTGTCTTCGATCGATCCGGAGTCACTTTCGATTCTCCAGGAACGCTCGTTACGCTAGGTGATCTGGATTTATCGACCACTTTATCGTCCACGTCTTTCAAATCGGGTTTCTCCTCGGTGGTGCTCGGTGTCTTCGATCGATCCGGAGTCACTTTCGATTCTCCAGGAACGCTCGTTACGCTAGGTGATCTAGATTTATCGACCGCTTTATCGTCCACGTCCTTCAAATCGGGTTTCTCTTCGGTGGTGCTCGGTGTCTTCGATCGATCCGGAGTCACTTTCGATTCTCCAGGAACGCTCGTTACACTAGGTGATCTAGATTTATCGACCACTTTATCGTCCACGTCTTTCAAATCGGGTTTCTCCTCGGTGGAGCTCGGTGTCTTTGAAGCAATCGGTGTTTCCTTAGTGTCACCGGTAGGACTCGCGGTAGGAGATCTGGACTTGTCGACTTCCTTTAAATCGGGCTTTTCTTCGGTGGTGCTCGGTGTCTTTGAACGATCCGGGACTTCCTTCGATTCTCCGGCAACGCTAGCTACACTAGGTGATCTAGACTTCTCGACAGCCTTGTCGTCCACGTCCTTCGTGTCAGATTTTTCGCTAGTAATGCTCGCTGGCTTCGATGGAACCGGTGTTTCCTTAGCGTCGCTAGTAGGGCTCACGGTAACAGATCTAGACTTGTCAACTTCCTTTAAATCGGGTTTCTCGTCGGTGGTGCTCGGTGTTTTCGATCGGTCCAGGGCTTCCTTTGGTTCCCCAGCAACGCTAGCTACACTAGGTGATCTAGACTTCTCGACAGCCTTGTCGTCCACGTCCTTCGTGTCAGATTTTTCGCTAGTAACGCTCGCTGGCTTCGATGGAAACGGTGTTTCCTTAGCGTCGCTAGTAGGGCTCACGGTAACAGATCTAGACTTGTCAACTTCCTTTAAATCGGGTTTCTCGTCGGTGGTGCTCGGTGTTTTCGATCGGTCCAGGGCTTCCTTTGGTTCCCCAGCAACGCTAGCTACACTAGGTGATCTAGACTTCTCGACAGCCTTGTCGTCCACGTCCTTTGTATCAGATTTTTCGCTAGCAACGCTCGCTGGCTTCGATGGAACCGGTGTTTCCTTAGCGTCGCTAGTAGGGCTCACGGTAACAGATCTAGACTTGTCAACTTCCTTTAAATCGGGTTTCTCGTCGGTGGTGCTCGGTGTTTTCGATCGGTCCAGGGCTTCCTTTGGTTCCCCAGCAACGCTAGCTACACTAGGTGATCTAGACTTCTCGACAGCCTTGTCGTCCACGTCCTTCGTGTCAGATTTTTCGCTAGCAACGCTCGCTGGCTTCGATGGAACCGGTGTTTCCTTAGCGTCGCTAGTAGGGCTCACGGTAACAGATCTAGACTTGTCAACTTCCTTTAAATCGGGTTTCTCGTCGGTGGTGCTCGGTGTTTTCGATCGGTCCAGGGCTTCCTTTGGTTCCCCAGCAACGCTAGCTACACTAGGTGATCTAGACTTCTCGACAGCCTTGTCGTCCACGTCCTTTGTATCAGATTTTTCGCTAGCAACGCTCGCTGGCTTCGATGGAACCGGTGTTTCCTTAGCGTCGCTAGTAGGGCTCACGGTAACAGATCTAGACTTGTCAACTTCCTTTAAATCGGGTTTCTCGTCGGTGGTGCTCGGTGTTTTCGATCGGTCCAGGGCTTCCTTTGGTTCCCCAGCAACGCTAGCTACACTAGGTGATCTAGACTTCTCGACAGCCTTGTCGTCCACGTCCTTCGTGTCAGATTTTTCGCTAGCAACGCTCGCTGGCTTCGATGGAACCGGTGTTTCCTTAGCGTCGCTAGTAGGGCTCACGGTAACAGATCTAGACTTGTCAACTTCCTTTAAATCGGGTTTCTCGTCGGTGGTGCTCGGTGTTTTCGATCGGTCCAGGGCTTCCTTTGGTTCCCCAGCAACGCTAGCTACACTAGGTGATCTAGACTTCTCGACAGCCTTGTCGTCCACGTCCTTCGTGTCAGATTTTTCGCTAGCAACGCTCGCTGGCTTCGATGGAACCGGTGTTTCCTTAGCGTCGCTAGTAGGGCTCACGGTAACAGATCTAGACTTGTCAACTTCCTTTAAATCGGGTTTCTCGTCGGTGGTGCTCGGTGTTTTCGATCGGTCCAGGGCTTCCTTTGGTTCCCCAGCAACGCTAGTTACACTAGGTGATCTGGACTTCTCGACAGCCTTGTCGTCCACGTCCTTTGTATCAGATTTTTCGCTAGCAACGCTATCTGGCTTCGAAGTGACCAGTGTCTCCTTGGTGGGACTGTCGCTAGTTGGACTCGCGGTAGGTGATCTGGACTTGACGTCCTTCAAATCGGGCTTTTCTTCGGTGGTACTCGGTGTCTTTGAACGATCCAGGACTTCCTTCGATTCACCAGCAACGCTAATCACGCTAGGCGATCTGGATTTGTCAACCGTCAACGTCTTGTCGTCAATGTCTTTGATAACATCCGCGATGCTCGGAGATTTCGAACGATCTTCCGGTTCTTTCGATTCTCCAGCAACGCTAGGCGATCTAGATTTTTCAGACGGTGCTTTCTCCTCGACGTCGGTTAATTCTGGTTTTTCGGTCGTGGTGCTCGGAGTTTTCGAACGATCCGCTGCTTCTTTCGTATCCCCGGAAACGCTTGTCACGCTGGGTGATCTGGATTTTTCAACCGCCTTCTTATCGTCGACGTCCTTTTCGCCAGCAATACTAGGCGATTTCGAACGATCCGGTACTAGTTTCTCGTCGAGAACGGGGCTCGTCAGACTGGCCGATCTAGACTTGTCGATCGTTTTCTCATCGACTTCCTTAACATCGGGTTTTTCGTCGGTGGTGGTAGGTGAACGATCCGGGACTTGTTTCGGTTCTTCGACAACGCTTGTTACGCTAGGTGATCTGGTCAGGTCATCGACCGCCGCCTTTTCTTCGACATCCTTTAAGTCAGATTTTTCACCGGCGATGCTCGGTGATTTCGAATGCTGTGGTGTTTCTTTGGTGTCGGCAGGACTAGTCACGCTAGGCGATCTGGATTTCTCAACTTTTTCGTCAACCTCCTTTAAACATGGCTTCTCATCAGCGATGCTTGGTGATTTCGAATGATCTGGAGCGTCTTTAGTTTCGCCGGAAAGACTCGGCTCGCTCGGGGATCGAGATTTTTCGACCTCCTTTTCGTCCACATCCTTTGCATCAGGCTTCTTATCACCAACAATGCTCGGTGATTTTTCTCGATCCAATGTTTCCTTTGCCTCGCCAGGAGAACTGGTTGCACTAGGCGTCCCAGACTTGTCGGTTGATTTTTTATCGACGTCCTTCAGATCGGACAATTCTCCAGCGACGCTCGGTGATCGTGATTTCTCGATCTCCTTTTCGTCCTTTTCGACGTCTTTAACATCAGGCTTTTCGCCAGCAATGCTCGGCGATTTCGAACGATCCGTTTCCTTGGCCTCGCCCAATGTGCTTGCCACGCTGGCCGATCGAGATTTATCGATGCTCGGTGATTTTTCACGATCTATCGGTTCTTTCGCCTCGACGGGGGAGCTCGTCACGCTAGGCGATTTCGACTTTTCCTCCTGTTTATCCTCAACTTGTTTCGAGTCTGATTTATCGGTGATAGGGGTTGGTGACTTGGAACGATCTGGTATTTCCTTCCCTTCTCCGGGAACGCTGATCACGCTAGGCGATCTAGATTTATCATCGATTGCTAAATCAATCTTTTCGCCCGCGATGCTTGGCGATCTAGAATGATCCAGCCCAACCACACTGCCCGATCGAGACTTATCTGCCTTTTCTTCGACGTGTTTTACATCAGTGATGCTCGGCGGTGATTTTTCTGGATCCACTGTTTCTTTCGTCTCGCCAGGAGAGCTAGTTGTACTGGGTGATTTAACCTTATCGATAACTTTTTCGTCCACGTCGACCAAATCGAGTATCTTTGTAGCGGTGCTCGGTGATTTCGAATCTTTCTTACCTTCCTGACTTTCACCGATACTGATCACACTGGCCGATCTAGATTTGTCTTCCAGCTTCTCGTCAACGCCTTTCAAATCAGGTTTTTCTCCAGCGATGCTCGGTGATTTCGAATGATCCGTCGGTGCTTTGGCCTCCTCGGAAACGCTCGTTACGCTGGGTGATCGAGACTTATCAATCTCCTTTGCACCGATGTCCGTTAAATCAGTCTTTTCGCCAGCAATGCTAGGCGACTTCGAACGATCCAGCGTATCTTTCGACTCCTCGACGTCTTTTATGTCCGGTTTTTCTGTGGTGGTGCTTGGCGAACGGGAATGATCGGGGATCGTTTCCTTCGATTCCCCGGGAACGCTTATTACGCTAGGTGATCTGGATTTGTCAATTGCCTCCTCCTCTTCGAGCTGCTTCGTGTCAGGCTTTTCGCCAATAATGCTGGGTGATTTCGAATGGTCGATTGGTTCTTTAGATTCGCCGAGGGAACTCGTTACACTGGGCGACCTCGATTTATCGACTGGTTTCTCGTCGGGTTTCTCGGGCGTGGTGCTCGGTGATTTCGAACGATCGATTTCTTTAAATTGTTCCGGAGCGACGACCAACGTAGGCGATTTAGATTCTACTGGCTCGTCGACGTCCTTCAAATCAGACTTTTCGCTAGCGATGCTAGGCGATTTCGAATGATCCACTACTCCTTTAGGCTCTCCGGAAACGCTGGTCACACTGGGTGATCTAGATTTGTCAATTACTTTCAGATCGGCGTCTTTCGCATCCCGCGGTTCTCCAGCAACGCTCGGGGATTTCGAACGATCCGTCGGTGATTTCGGTTCTCCGGAAACGCTCACCACGCTGGGAGACCTGGATTTATCTGACTTTTTCTCCACCTCTTCCTCATCAAATTTCTCGCCAGCCAGACTAGGCGATTTCGAACGATCCGGTGCTGGTTTCTCATCGAGGGCTGGACTCGTTACGCTAGGCGATCTGGACTTGTCGATCGGTTTTTCATCCACTTGCTTAATATCGGGTTTCTCGGTAGCGATGCTTGGTGTCTTGGAAGTATCGAGAACGTCCGTTGGTTCGCCAGAAACCAAGCTCGTTACGCTAGGCGATCTAGATTTATCGACCGCGACATCCTTAAGATCAGATTTATCGCTGGCGATGCTCGGTGTTTTCGATCGATCCGCAAAATCGGTGGGTTTCTCCGGTAAGCTGGGGGTCAAACTAGGCGATCTAGATTTCTCGTCGACGCGTAAATCGCGTTTTTCACGATGAATACGATCCGTTTCTACAGGTTCTTCGTGGCCGCTCGTTATGCTAGGCGATCGTGCCTTCTCTAAGGACTCCTCTTTAACATCTGCCGCGTGAATCTTGTCCTCGTCGATCTTCTCCTTCTCGACGCTCGGTGATTTTTTACCATCGACGGCGGAAGGTTCTTTCGTTTCTTTCTCGGCGCTGGGCGATCTGGATTTCTCCAATTGTTTCAAGTCAGCCTTCTCGTCGGTAAGGCTCGGGCTCTTGGATCGATCCTGCTCCGGTCCTTTGAAATCGCTGACCACGCTGCCCGATCTCGATTTATCTGCGGTGTCTTTGATGTCATCGGGCTTTTCGCTCGCGATACTTGGGGATTTCGAGCCATCTTCCGGCTCCTTGGAATCGACCGGAAGACTCGCCACGCTGGCCGATCTCGATTTATCCGCCATCTGTTCGGTGATGTCTTTCGCGACGCTGGGGGACTTGGATCGATCCTCTGGCTCCGTGGATTCAACCGGAATGCTGGCCACGCTCGGTGATCTAGATTTATCAATCGTCTTCTCATCGACGTCTTTCGAATCGAGCTTTTCGCTAGCAGGACTTGGGGACTTCGAGACCCTTTCTGGCACCATAGTCTCGCTCGTAACGCTGGGTGATCTTGACTTCTCTGTCGCTGTTTCCGTAATCTTTGTATCGACCGGTGACTTGATCTTCTCGACAACTTCTTTCTCGATACTGACTGGTCGCGACTGTTGTACTGCTTTCTCCTGATCGAGCTCATCCTTTGGCGGAGTCGGAGACTTTTCTTTAGCCGCGAAATCGGTGGTAACGGTCTCCTCGGGTGATTTTCTTTTGTCTGGTTCGTCTTGTAGGTCCGGTTTCTTTTCAATCAAACTTGGAGACTTATCCTCGGAAATGCTCGGCGACTTGGAGCGAGCAACGGACTCCTCATCGTCTTTTTTTACCGATTCTTTCTCCACCTTCGGTACTTTGTCCTCTGTTTTGGTGTCTGGTGTCTCGGGACTCTTCTCTCGCGACTTGCTATCGATCTCCTTCTCCTCGATAATTTCGGAATCCCGAACAGTGGCTTCGTCGATCTGAGTCAACGTTTCTTTCTCAGGTTTTCCGGGGGTTGCATCGATAATGCCTTTCGGAAGTTTCTCGGTGGGAGATTTCGCGAAAATGGTCTCTGCCGGGGAAACGTCCTCCGAGCGAATCGATTCGGGCGACTTGGACACTCGGATTATTTCCAGGGCCGTTTCCGAAGTTTCTGCATCGACGAACTGTTGGTCCGGTGATTTCGGAACTGGGCTCGTTTTCTGAGCAACTTCTTTCTCGATAGTGTCCGGTGTTTTATCAGATACTTGGCTGGTTGATGACTCGATCGGTTCAACCTTGTCCAAGGGTTTTTCTTCGTGGTCGGTCTTCGGGGGCGTTTTCTCCTTGTCTACGAGTTCCTTCGGCGGTTGCGGGGATCTCGGTGTGTCCGTGTCGATGGAAGGAGAAGTGCTGTCCATCTCCTTTGCTTTTCCAACGGTGGTCACCTTCTCTAGGCTGTCCTCGAGATCTTGGGAATCGCGTCTGTCCACCGGCGACTTGTCCAAACTATCTTCGGGCGTGGTCACTTTTTCCACGCGTTTCGTTTCAGGCGGCGATTTCTCGGAGATACTGTCCTTCTCCGGGCTGCTTGTTCCAGACAGCAGCGAGTCCTTATCGAGAAGCAAGGAATCCTTGTCGGGTGTCGATTTCATAGACGCGTCTTTCAGAGAATCGTCCGGTGTAAGGGTCTTTGTGAACGTGATGCTGCCGCTCGGGCAAATTTCTGTTTCGTGTCCGCCATCTTCGCTGCTCGCTGTGACCAGCATTCGTCTGACAGCGCCTGTGTCTTCTGCTGCTTCAACGGTGATTGGTATCTCCGCGGATGACACAGGTTCGATAATTTTCGAATCCTTTCTGTCGATCTTCGCTGGTTCGATCGACTCGTCGGGACTCTTGCGATCTTCTTTCTCCTCGGGTTCTCTCTTATCGGGTTCTGGTTTCGGTTCGGTAGCCCTTCCCGTGGCGTCCGCTAGCTTCACCTCCGGTTCGATCGGTACTTTAGGCTTCTCCTCTTTGGATTTCTCTTCTTCCGATATATCCAGGATCGTTGGAATTTCAGCATCGACTTTCTCCTCGACGGGGGTTGCTTCCTTCACGTCCAATGGTTTTTCTTCGTCCTTTTGCAACGTCTCTTTCGTAGGACTTGCTTCTTTACCGACGATGGACTCTTTTCTCGTCACTGTCACGGCAACTTCATCGACCGGTTCGACGCTGGGTTTTGTGTCTGGTTTTTCTTTCGCTTCGTCGAGGTATTTTTCGATAGTATCGAGGGATTTCGACGCGTCCGCTGTTTCCACCTTCGACTCCACCTTAGGCTCTACCTTCTCTAGGTGCAACTCTTTCTTCTCTTCTTTCTGTTTCGTCTCGTGAACGAACTTTTCGTCGGCTTCGACTACGTCGCTCACGGTGTCCTCGATCACTTCCTCCGCATAGTCCTTCTCCTTGATCTCGTCCGATTTCGGCGAAACGTCGCGAGACGTGTCGCGACCGGAAGTGACCGGCGAGTCGTGTACTTTGTATTCCTGCTCGACCGCCTCAAAGTCGTCGGTGTGGTCTTTCTCATGTACTTGTTCAATAACATGTTTCGCGTCTTCGATCTTATCAGGAGACACCGTCTTCTGTTCTGTATCGATCGTTCCTTTCGAAACTTTTCTGCCGATGGTAACGAAACCGTCCTCCTCTACGTCTTCCTCTTCTTCTTGTGCCGGTTGCTCCTCGGAGACGGGTTCTTTAGCCTCTACCGATTCCGCCTTTGTTTTCGCCTTCTCTATAATCGATTCCTTCTCTTCTGTTTCTTTCGTATCCAACTTGGAGGCTACTTTCTCTGGTTCTTCCGGTTTCGATTCGAACAAGCCTTCCTCCATGGTCACGTCGATCATCTTCTTGACAATTATCTCTTGGATTATTCGGATGATAATCGTTCTCGGGACTAGCATTTTCACTGAAATCTCCTCTACTATTCGAACAGTGATGCGTTTCCCTTTCGTGACGTATTCGTTGATAATGTACTCCTCGAGCTCGGTTCTCAACTGTGGCGTGATTGATTCCTCCAGCTTCAAAATTTCCACGTTGTCGACAACCTCTTCCCTGGACAGTCCTTTTCTCACGATGATCTCTTCGATTATATAAATTACGCGTTCCTTCGGGACCCGTTTAACGATCGTGATGTATTCTATAATCTCGATCGTGACTTTCTTCCTCTTCGTTATAAGTTCTTCGATGATCTCTTCCACCATGCGGTCCACCTTGTCGACGATGGCCTTTATTTCGGCGGACAGTTCTTTGGTTTCGTACAGCTTGTCGGTTATGAATTTCGGCGATGTCGGCGTCGAGCCGGGCGAAACGGTGACAATTTCCGCTTTCGCCGGCGAGATCTTCTGCTCGAATCCTATCACCGACTCTTCTATTATGCTATCCGGCGGGATCTTTCCCTCGTCGGATATCGGTGTCTTCGCAACTTCCTTCACGCACACGTCTTCCAATCCAGCCTCCATCACGTCCAGCTCCTTCGTAGGTTCCGCCGTCTCCTCCGGTTCCTCGTCTTTCTTAACTTTACAAATCGATTCTTCCTTCAAAAGTTCCGTGCAGATCTCCTTGGCGTCGTGATCATCCTTTGTTTTGTCTTTCGGTGCAAGAGAATCGATCGCGTCGTCCTCTTTAGTGATTTTCACGCAAGGCTTTTCCGCCTGTTGCAATTGTACCGCGTCGGTTGGTTTGTAGGCCGATACCGAATCTGTGGTTCCCTCGATGAGCTCTTGGACTTCTTCTTGCTGCGGAAACTCCTCGGTGATGCCAACTTTCGTTGGAATTACGCCGAGCTTCTCGTCGAGTTTCGCTGTTACGACCTCCGACACCGGAGATTTCGTTTCAGCCGTGAGCGGTAGCACGGTTTCCTTCCGTTCGACTCCCAATAGCACCTCGTCCAAAAGGAAATCGTCTGCCTTCAACACTTCAGCAACTTTCTTCACGATTTCCGTGACGTCCTTGGGCTTGTCGTCGATGTGAATGCCGACTGTTCCCGCGAGGACTTCGCCCACGTCGCGTACGGCCTCCTTAAGGTCCTTCACCGCCTCTGTTATCTCTTCGTCGTCGTGTTCCGCCTCGAAATCCTCGTCTTTTGGCACGTCGAATTTCGCTTTGGCTGGTTCCGCTGCCGGTTCCGGTTCCTTGGTTTCGATCTGAGGCTGCATCTCTTCCAATTTTTCGACCACACCGTCCAACGTGTCCCTGACAACGTCCTTTACCGATGCTTTGCGAACTTGCTCGACAGCCTCGTCCTCGACAGACTCGAAGGAATCTCTGGAACTTTCTTTCACCTTCTTCGAAGGTTTCTTCGAAGTATCGAGGATATCGTCTTCTACTTTCTCCTCCACGGTTTTTTCAACTTGTTCCTCTTTCTTTGTAGGTGTGATATCGGTCTCTATCACCGGTGATGGTTCTTCTTTCTTCTTCTTCTCGCTGTCCTCCGATGGAACGGTCTTGAGTTCGACCTCGGGTTTCGGACTGGGCTCGGAGATTGCTTTAACTTTCTCCGCGGTCTCTTGGACGGTATCTTTAACGATTTCCGTCACGGGGGCTGGTTTCGCGTCGGTGACTTTTGTCGCAACTTCCTCGGGGGCTTCGAGTTTTTCGCTAGGCTTGCCCACTTTCGGGAACATTTTCTCCATGTCGACCTCTTCGAGAAGAGTCTTCTCCTGCACCTTGGCCTCCTTTGGCGAGCTGGACTTGGAAGACGACTTGTCATCGGCGTCCTTCTCCGGGTCTTTCTTCGATTTCTTGGTCAACTTGTCGATGCCCTTCTCGAACTTGTCGGCGACCTTTCCCAGGAAACTGAACATGCCCTTTTGCTCTTTGATCGGCGGTGTCGGGGGCTCTTTGATCTGCTGCACCGGCGGCGGCTGCGGCAGCAGCGACGGTTTCTCCTCCTTGTCCTTCTCGAAGCCCTCCATTCTGTACAGTTTAGGATCCACTTCCTCGTGAACCGGCAAATCGGCGACCTCGTCGGGTGTCTTGACAATGTCGCGTGGCAGAGTCTGCACGGTTTGGCGGGCATCGAAGATAGAAAAGTCTGATTTGATCGGTGGAAGAGCGGCTCGTTGAACGGCAGCGACTGCGGCAACATCGTCGCTAACGACAGGACCGGGAACGCCCGCGGGAGCTTCTTCTTTAATTTTCACCGGAAGGGCAAAGTCTTTCTCTTTGACGTCCTCGACGATGTGTTTCTCGTCGATGTCCTCCTTTATCTCGTCGAGGGGTATTCGTTCGTCTTCGGGGAGAGTCGGAGCCGTGGTGGTGGCGCCGGATTCTATGGTGGAGATCCGTTCCTGCGACTCCTCCAATTTCTGCGAGGGAACTTGTTCCTTCTGGTCTGCTTCTGGTTTCAAGTCAGTGTCTGTGGTCTTCTTCTCGGACGAGTCAAATTTATCCGGACTCAAACTGGACGGTTCTTTCGTAATATCTTCGCTGTCCTTTTTCCCAGAGTCGTCCTTCTCCTCGGGCTTTTGCGGAACCTCTGACGGTGAAACGACTGTCTCTTTCGTCTCCTCTTCCAGCAACCGTTCCCGTTGATCCGGCGACGGTAATTCCGCCGATGGCTCCTTCTCCACTTTCGTTACCGTTTCGATCGCTTTTAATTCCGCCGAGGGCCTCTTCTCCGCACTTTCATCCTTCTCCTTTTCCTCGATCTCTTCCTCTTCCTCCCCGTCTTCCTCTTCTTCCTCCTCGGCCTCCTCCTCCTCTTCCTCCTCCTCCTCCTCGTCCTCCTCGTCCTCCTCTTCTAAGGCTTTCTCCTTCACGAGATCCGCATCCTTGAGGATTTTCGCCTTCTCGGACTCGGCCTCGTCGAGAACGTGTTTCTGCTCGCCCTCGCCGCTCTGCACCGAATCCTCCGTGTAAACCTCCTCCTTCTCGACGATCAGATATTCGTCCTCCTCGGTCAGCTCCTGGCTGCCCTTTCTCAGGCTGTCCTTCTTCGGGGCGTCTTCGATTTCAGCGGTAACGTCTTCCTCGGTGATGTCTTCTTCCTTTTTATCGGTAACCTCGGCCGTGATTTCGTCGTCGCCCTCGAAACGATCGTCTTTCCTGGTCTCCTCGATCCTCTCGGCCTTCTGGAGAACAGCCTCGATCTCCTCGACGACCTCACGCTCCTCTTTCAGATCGGCCAACACTTTGCTCTCGATCGAGTCCAACGAAATGTCCTCGGACTTTTCGATCAGGCTCTTGTCGACCAGTCTGGCCTCGACCTCCGCAGCCGCGGTTTCCGGCTCGATTCCGGACGGCGTGGACACCGTCGAGGAATCGGTGGTGCCTTTGTCGCCCTTCGGTTTACGAATCACACCGTCCTTGTCGGATTTCACGGACGTGGTCGGCGTGCTGCGTGTCGATTTCGCCGGACTTCCGGGCACACGGGCTTTGCTAGGGCTGACTGGTTTACCGCGACGACCGATCGGCTTCCGTTCCATCAGTTTCGGTTTCGCGGACACTTTCAACGCGCCAGCCGCGGTCTCCTTCGCGCCAGACTTCTCAATCTTCTTCTGCTCCACGACTTTCCTGTTGTTCGCGTCTTTCGCGCTCTTCGCCGGTGGCGCCGCTCCAATTTTCTGCCCTGTCGACGGTTTCGACCGCGGTACGCTCACTTTCATTATCTCCGTCTTGGACGCGACGCCGTTCACCGTCTTCTTCGGCGTGGTCGGCGACGACTTCACCACGCCCGTCTCCTTGATCGGTTGTTTCGTCTTCTTCTCGGTTAGTTTCGGTTTCAGCGACTCGCCGACTTTACCGACGACTTTCACGCCGACCTTCGTCTCCTTCGGTTCCTTCTTTCTCGCCTCGCCTTTGTGCTTGGACTCTTTCGGAGGGGCCATCTTCTCTAGCTCCGATTTACCCTGAAGCTCTGCTTTCTTAACGCCACCCTCCTCCTCGGTCTTGTCCGGTTTCTCCGTCTGTTTCTCGGCTGCTTGTTTCTCAATTTTCGTCGCCACCTCTCTCCTCGAAACCTCCTTCTTCACCTCTCTCAGCTCCTTCTCGATTTTCTTGCTCTCTTTCGCCTCCACCTCTATCTTCTTGTTCTCCGCCGCCTTCTTAGCTTTCACCTCGATCTTGCCCGGCTGCGGTTTCGTCGATATGATCGGTGTGCTCTGCATTATGCTCTTCGGATGCGAGTCCTCGCCCTTCGTCGTCTTCACCTCGGCCGATTCTCTCTTCTCTTTCTTCGTGTCCGACAGCTTCTTCGTCGGCTCCTTGTCTATCAGGCTCAACTTCTGTTTCGCCGGTTTGTCGCGCAGAGTCGCCAACGACGTGGACGGAGAAAGACTCTTGGCGGAACAGACTGGGTGCTTTAGGAACTCCAAGTGCTTCAGTCGCTCGAAACCTTCGAAAATCTTATGCTGTGGCGTACTTCCGGGGAACAGGATTCTCGTGATGGTGTCCTCGGGGTTGGCCGGTTGCCAAACCAACAGAACGCATATCGACACGAGATTCTGTATCGGGAACGTTAAATTGTTCGAGTCTTTCTTGTGGGAACCCGCGAATAACTTTGAATCCGCCGAATGCCATTTCGCTAGGAACTCCCTAACTTCGCGGCTATCTTTGCTGGGGCTGAGAACGTACATGTCCAGGGTACCGTGGCCCACTTTGTGATACAGATTTATCGGATCGGGATCCCTGTAGCACGGGTGCGCCCGTAAATTAATGTGACGAAGATTGGCGACCATCTCCTGCCCGATGTCGGTGAGATTCAGAATCAACGGATCGATATCTTTGTCCCCGTCCGGTGAATTGGATTGTCTTCTCTCCTGTTACATGACAACGCAACGTTCGATAGATTAATGAACGCACCGAGCTGGCAACTTTGTCGAGCAAAGCGATCGGCAACGAAAATGGTTAAAACTTTGATTTAACGAAGCCGATTCTTTTTACAATTTTTCCCACCCCCAACCCCTTTATAAAAGCCAGACTATAAGGCTTATCGTTTGCTTCTATTGCCAGAAGAAGCCTTCCCCTACAAAATAATCCGGATTAGGCAAGTAAATAGTTTTATCGACAGTCGTTATTACGAGTTTACTGTGACATCTGACCAGAGAGGGATCTTATACGCAACTTTTAATATTCTAGAAACAAGAACGATTAAATGTCTCTTTTTATCTATTCTTCGTATGTAATTTTTTCTTCAAATTATAAACGGTGAAACGTCAAGTACTAGTAGTAAATGATATTTGTAAAGTAAAAAAACTTTAGGATTTTTGACGGTCGTTCGATAATCAACGATTGGTTCGTTAAATCAACGTTTCAAGAGGGTACTGAGAAATACTCACGACGAGATTACAGAAAAAGTGTCCAATTTGTGGATAAACGTGCATCTCCTTCTTTTTGCGAACAACGCTGTACATGCCCCCAACGTTACTGTTATTTATTCTAGTGACTAAAACGGCATCGAGGCGATCCAAGTGCCTGGTAAAGTCCCAGAAGCATGCCTTTCTGGCGAACCCTCCGTCCACGAGCATATTAAAACCGTTTATGCCGAAAAGGGCGGCGTCTCCTTGTCCGCCGGGGAAGACGTATAAAGTTGGATGACTGAATCGAATGTTGCCCACAACGTCGGACGGCTCCATAAGCTGGTCCAGGGTCTGAGCCACCAGGTACTGTCCAACATAGTTGGTGAAACTCGCGATCGCCGGCACACCGGCGGTAAGAACGTCATCGGGATTTACTCGGACTCTGCACGATCTATATAGGGTCAAAATATAATCGTTCATTTCACAAATCTACTATTAGTACTCTACCGGATCTAAAATCAAAGACGAACGTACCTGGTGCAAGCTTCTTTCGACAATCGGTTTGTTGTCCAATCGCCAACACCCGCGCAATGAATGTCCACCGTAACGCTGTTCTCGTAAGCGCGAAGTACTCTCTGCACCTCGTGTTCGCTGAACGCATCCAAAAAGTCGGCGATGCTGAAGGTTCCATCCTAAAGGAATGTTTCAGCACGATCGTCAGTTCGGTCTGGCGTGGTAAATTCAAAGAGACGAGTAACACCGCGTGAAAAATAATAAGAAAAGCGTGCGTACTTGCAGTATCCAGGAACCATTTCCACCAAAGGTATAGCCGGCGTGTATGATGTGTCGATGTTTCGTGAAACTCGCGAGTAGGTTGCGGATACATTGTAATAATGTGTTTGTTTGCGGGTGAATGAGAACTTCCGTAACAAGATTCTCGGTAGCGTATTGGATCAGTCGTTCGCCTGAAATTTCATTCGTCTCGTCGAATAAAACAACACGACCACGTACGGATAAGTTGTTCGACCGCATCGCGAATACAAACGATAAAAGCATAATTGATTCAGACTGCGACTAGTCGTCGATCGATTATCATAAATATATCTGTATATATTATAAAAAGTATCAATACCGTTCCGAGCTTCTTCTCCTTCTGGTGCTTGTGCTACCAACGCCAGTAATTCTTTCTCTAAATCTACGTGACAACTATCCTTGTCCCATGACAGGAAACCTGAAACAACATCAGAAACAGTATCGATCAGTATTTCTATATTTAACGTCTACTCGAATGTTTGTTTCATCGCGAGGCTCGTCTTTTACGGTTTTACAGATTATTTGAGCATCATTTATCCATCCTCCGTTCTAGATACGTACACGTAGGTTCAAACGTCGTATCGATACGAAGACAAACGTAATTGCGTTTTGATCGCAATCTAATTATTATCACGATGGTGCCGGGTGAGCAGAATAGTGGGTCATAACCACGTATAACCTACCCAAGAGACTGCACTGTTCTGGCTTCATAAAGCGAGGGCTGTTCAGGGTCGAGTAATGGAAGGTTAAGGTTAAGAAGGCAAGAACTGCTTGCTGTCCGTCTTACATCCCCGATTGACGAGGAAAGCGAATTACGAAATTGCTACATCGCATAAACTTTCTTACAAGAAATTTTATAACCCGATAACCGATCCGACCATCGATCGATCCCATTCGATTATCAACCAATTTTTATTTAACGATTATTATATCCTCGTTAGAGAACCAACCGTATCTAACCCCGCTATATTCTCGTATTTTCTAAGGTTTCGAACAATCGTCTTCCTTTACACGTAATATACATGTATTATTCTTAATTATTTTCATTGAATACAATTTTATTCTTTGGAAAAAATATTTCCGTTCAACGGATCGAAGCGATGTATCAAAAACCACTGTGACGCATTCGAAAAGTCCGTACGCGTATTCTGTACGGCGAAGGAGGAGGAAGAGGCGGTTCGTTTCGTTGTACGCGCGTCAACGGGACAAATAAATGCAACCAACGACGGATAAATCGGAACATTGAATAAAACATCGGGGATCGAAAAGTAAAATGAATTTCTTGGTACCGATAAAGGAACGTAACAAGTCGTTCCATGACGTCAGGAATACCGCACCCCGTCGCGTAGTTCCGTAGTAGTGGTCAATCGATCGTCGCGTATCCTGCAACCACTCTCTATTCCCACCTATGCGAACCGTCGCGTCGCCTCGTACCTTTTTCCTACACCGTCTGGAATAGACATTTTTATACGGTTCCGTTTGTTTAATCCCCGGCGCCGTTAAAATAGAACAAAGGTTAAAGAATTCTCTACCGAACGTGTGCGCCGCCTTTCGACGCGTTCAACCCTCCGCAAATCTTTTCTGCCGGCTACTGGCTGAAAAAGAAACGACATTACGGTCACAGTTTTTCCATTTCCTCCTCTGTCGAACGTCCTGGCAAACATCTCAAAACGAATTAAACACAATTGTTAGCTGTATCGTTGATACGCCCAACCTCGGAATGAAGAAAGGGAAAAGGAGAAGCATTTGTGCATGTATGTGCGTTCGAGCAGATACATACGTACACACGAGTACAATAGTTCCCTTGCGGACAATAGGCTCCGCCGCGATCGAAAACAACGAGCAGCAATTAGATCGTTTCAGCTTCTCGTTTCGAAGTAAGGAATCGATGATGCAGTAAAATGGAACGATGCCGGTTGCCAAGGCGGTGCTGAAACGGCTCTGGTGCAATTTTACGTTGGTAAATGTATACCTACGCGATAAGGGAGCAAAACCCTTGGATAGAAATTCTCACTATCCAAGGTAGGTACTGAAATTTTTCAGTGAAAAAAAAAAATTTCGAATCGTTCTAAAAAAATGATTCTCAGTTGCAGGGGTCATTTACAATCATTTTTGGTCAATAGACATATCCTCGAAATCCTAACCAGTTTCGAGAAAAAAATTCGAGAAGGAGTGAAATTTATCGCAAAATTAAAAAATTCCAAATTGTTCTGAAAAAATTATTTTCAGTTACAAGGGTCTATTACGATCATTTTTGGTGAATAGACATACCCTCGGAATCCTAACCAGTTTCGAGAGAAAAATTCGAGAAGGTGTGAAATTTATCGCAAAATTAAAAAATTCCAAATTGTTCTGAAAAAATTATTTTTAGTTACAAGGGTCTATTACAATCACTTTTGGTGAATAGACGTACCCTCGAAATTCTACGCAATTTCAAGAAAAAAAATCATTACCGAAGATAGAACGTGTGGCCAGAAATGTTTCTATACTTTCGTTTACTGTCTCATTTCCTCTTGTGTTAATTTCTGTAAGTTGTTGGTAATGGGGCAATAAAAATGGCCCGAAAAATTACATTGGATGTAAGGTATATTTTTGTCCCAGTCTCGAGTACGCCGAATAATCGGAATAATACTGCATAGGAACCCGCAAAGATGAAAATCTCCCGAACAGGGGGGCTTGTTACTTTCTTGAAACGGTCCAGAATAATTGTTGATTGGTATCCTTGGTATCCTGCGCGTACAATGATTCGAACGATATGAATTAACGCGAATGGAACAACGGCTGTGCTGCTACGAGTATTAAACCGTTTAAATCTACATATCGAGGCACACAGCCAGCAAAAACCCTCTATGTCAAATTGATCGGAAGCCCTGACGGTGATACAAGAGAAGCCGTGCCACGTCGGGGATGAAGAGGAGGAAAGCGGAAAGGGGGGGAAGGGGGGGTGTGGGAGGTGGGAGGCGAAGGAGGAGGGGGCGGTTGCAGCCTGGTGTGACTTTTAATGCCCAACGATCTCCGCGCATTCTCTTTGTGAAAAAAATGCCCGCATACGTCCAACTCGTACGATATCGATGAAAACGATGCGGGATATTGTACGTATGGACATTTTCCGTCTGCTCGGTACGTTAAGAAAAAGCATGACCGATATAGTGTAATAACTTTTGTTCGAATCCCGTTATCGAGGTAGCTGTCGATGCATTACGTGGAGACGACGACAGGCTTAATCCGTCGACGTATAATATGTATTATGGAATAAACACTTATGTATACATTTTCGAGAACGAATGAAAGAAATTTGAATAGTCTGTCGTTTGAAAGGAAACGGTACCGATACCGAATGAAAATCTTTTACGATCGAAAGTTTTGCACGCGGCCGATAATAACGAGCGGCTCGATTCTTTCGAGAAACCGTTAACAGTTAAAAACTGAGACGTACACGGCACACCGTGACGCCTCGAATACGTGCAGTACTTAAAAACAGCGTAGTTGAAGATACTGGGTTTAAATATAGACAAAATCGTGGGCTTGTTCGTCGGAGCATTTACCCCTCCTATGGCGTCCCTTAGAACCACGCGCACTCGTTTCCATCGCGTTTCTCGATTTGCATTGACTTCCTTTTTCCCCCTTTTTACCTTTTTTCTTTCCTCGGCCGACGACGGATGCTCAGAACGTTAGGGGTTTGCCCAAACTATGTTTAGACTCGGTTTTCCGTTGTCCTTCTTGCAACTCTTACTTCCTTACGGTTCTCGAGATTTCTGCATTTTCGCTCCGTTCGCTCGAACGTCGTGACGCGAAACTGCGTACCGTTAATATCATCGCCGATGAAACGCAACGCACTGTACATTATTCCGCTTCGAGAGTTCGGTTTCGACGGTTCGTAAATTTTTAACGAAACCGCGACCCAATTATTCGTAGCTTCGAAGACGCGAAACATCGAAGAAATATTCCCGGACGATATCGTATGCATTGTATTGTAGCGACAGTGAACGATCTAGAAGCTTTTGTTTTCTAACAGGGTCAAAAAGTTTCTTCGAAAACTGCTGACATCGGTCACGATTCATCTATCAGGGAAAGAAAACACTCGACCTCGAACGAGGTCGATGACGAGCCGTTGTTCTAATCTGCTCTAAACGCCATTGTCGTCATACTGTGACGAGGTTTGTTGGCTGGCATGCATATCAAATATTAAATTTATCCGATACTCGTCGCGGTTCCTCGTATCGTTCTAAATAGTATAGAGTAATTTGTCAATAACGTATCCCCCGAAGAAACAACATATAATCGAAACGGACACTAAATTAGAAATAGATACTCGAATTGGTAACCGATATTTGAACATGCGATGCACGATCTCGGTGGTATAGCATAGAGAGACCGACCTAGCTCACCCGTATCTATTTATATTTCCAAGACAAGGGCGAAGACCCGATCCAAGGATTTGTCAAAGTTGCGACCAAAGTTGCAAAGAAGCTTTGGTCCTTGAGTCCTTTTCCTTTCACGATCTTACGTTTAAAACTAATTAAAATTACATTCCAACGACACATATTTCCAGCAAACATTGTTATCAATAGCAAACCGATACGATACGCAAGTTGGACGAATTATACCGTTTCTTGATCAAATATCGTTTACGCGTTTAATCGATTTCTTGATATTCGATCGTTCAAGCACATGGAAATAGTTCTGATTCGTATTGTTGCACGAAAACAGTCGTATCGAGATAGGTAAACGTCAGGTCTGCTTTTTCTTTTAACTATTCCGATCAATGACTCCAAGTAATCTGTTGATCGTCGATTACCGCACTGCTACCAATCGACCATATTATATCGGCCTTCTTCGGAACGCGATACAACATAACTTTTATAAAAACAATAACGTACAAGTTGATTTATTGTTTCCTTTCCAACAGTTATTATACTTGAAAAACGTACTATAAAAGCGTTCGATGGAAGAAAATAGTAGAAAGAAGGTTCGTCGAGCGATTTCAGAGAACGTCTCCGATGTGTAAAACTGATCAAAGGTTTACCCTGGTGTTTGAATTGGAAAATTATTGGTAACTAAGAGTCGCGGATTGGCCCAAGGGTCAGGTTCATGAACGAGGTAATCGAGAAACAGAGTTTCACGATTCGAAGAGCACGATGCCCGCGAGAGCAAATCACTGGTGAATGCCATGGTAAAATTAGACACACTATATTCAGTTGTACGTACGATGAAACTATAACAGTCGCCGTGAACGTTTTACCGAACATTATATCGCTCTATAGGAAATCTGTATACACGTGCTAAATATTTAAGAGCCTCGATAACGACGATATTCGAAAATCCGGCGTGCAAACGGCGATTACAATTTCTTCATCGAATATAGTTGCAATTTTCCCGTTCGTGTCGTCGCAATTCACCCTTTACCTTCGTCTTATCACCGATACTCTGACCTTTTCGCTCGCCTTGAATTCGTATTCGCGCGACGTGCACGCGACCAGCGAAATTTTTCGATGACCCGACTGAAATTTTTCTCCGTGTAAAAGATTGATAGTATCGTAAAAAAAAAATTGTAAACGGTGGGTGTACGTGTGTGTATCGACTCGTTAAAGTGAGCATATGCATGTGAGGCGACGCGACGCGATGCGTCGCGATACAATCCAACAGATCCCTCTGTGCGCGGGTTCTTCCGGATATTACAAGCATCGTGTAACTCCAACTTTCTCGATGCTCCCCACGTCCTCAATCGTGATTCATGCCGACAAGTATGCCTTCCTACCTTTTATATGTGTCGATAACCGTACAATATCTGCGAGTACATGTACATTATACGTATAACTGCACACGTATCATCACATAAATCGTTCCTGACCGTATTACCTCGCGTTTATTTAAATCCGATTGCGGTCGTTAAAAATCGAAACGAAATTTTCAACGAAACACACACGTTTTTGGACACTCGTATACTAACGCGATACTAGCTTCAGAGAAACGTTTACTCAATAATTTTAGTGCTCCGGTAATTCGTGTACCTTTGTACGAATTGCTCAAAATGGCCACCTTCTCGGTGCTAGCCTGCAGTTTTCGTGTCACGGGGTTTCTCAATCTTTCGGGAACACCGAGTGTTTGTCGGAGCCGTTGACAGCCTTATTGTATACGTTGACAGAGTATTTCAACGCTGGTAATGGCTGTTGAATAAACAATCGTGTTCAAGTGGATCCAGAAATAAAAAGATTCGATGGATTTAAACGTGGGGAACGAACCGAGCTAAGGAATATATCTCCTATGCATCCGTCAGACGTACATCTAATAAAACTTTTTCCACTATTATAATACAATTTATTAGAAGTAGTAGTAGTAGTAGTTATAGAGTAGCACAGTTAAAAATTGTTGGAATACAGAAATGGAAACAAGGTCAGATAGGGCGCGTATTTAAAACAACTTTTTTCATAGTTGTCGTGTCTCCAATATTTATTTGTAAAAATTCTAAATAATATTATATCAAATAAATATTACAATTAATGAAATATTCGAAAGAATTGAATGAAATCTTATTCGTTGCAAAGTTATTCTGATCGAAAATTTCTCAAAGAGCGAAATAATCCTGTCAAATAATCCGTCCTGAAAAATCTTCCAATGATAGATGTACACGTAGGTATATGTAGCCCAATGAGTCACAGAAAACCTGTCGGCTAGCACGTTTGCATCGTACTCGTCGCATACGAAATTACCGGTATGCATTGTATACATAGTAAGATGGGTCATCGCATGGGAGAACCATAATCTTTCACGATATACATATGTATGTGTATTCTTCGACCGAGTCACCTTCCCGTGCAATTTATGTTATTTTTGGAAACGTCAGCAGAGTCTCCGATCGGACAATATCTCGAAACATGAAAGAATATTCCCATAATATGGGAAACCACATATAAATAGCCGATTCCGTGTACAGTAGTTCATGATAGAATTCGGTCGTTAAGGTGTGTGACTTATTTAACTTGAAAAGGGTCAGGCACCTTGGCGGCCGATGCGTAAAATGGACTATAGACAGGATCGATCCTCTTTATATCCGAAGAAACTTTACGTTTCCTTCGACGCTCGTGTACTAATTTGAGCGAAAAAATCATTCACCTTTTAAAGGTATAAATAACTCGTGTGACAGCGTCTCGTGCGCTAGTTAAAAAAAAGACAATTTTATGGGCATTTCGTTCTTTTGACATTTCGGTAACGTTACGCTAGTTTTTGCCATAGAAAAATAACCGATGCAATTAGCAGGTGATCCGTAAAAAAATGACCTTGACACGGTTCCGTTCGGTAATCAAAGCTACTCGAAACGTTCCCGATCCTAACCGTTCTCTTTTCGTCTTTCGATCTAGTCTTTTTTCCCCGCCACCCACAACCCCCCATCCCGTTCTCACCCCTACGGTTTCCCACCGTTCCCTGTCACACTTTGCGTCCACATACTCGGTCCCTTTTCCACTTTCCACCCTTTGCTTCGAGTACGCGTGTATCCATATACGTGTACGATCATTATTCATTCAACCACGTGAGAGAGTGACGAAATAATGTCGTCATTTCGGCTTAGCGACAGTTTTCACTACGAACCGAGTGGATGGATTATTGATCGAAGTTCTGGGGACTGCGGGGATGTGACTGTAGGCTGGTACTAACATGCGCATGCCGCACCAACCTACCGCTACACACTTTCCTCCTTCTTCCGCGTTCTCTATTTTTCCCTATTTCGTACACCAACGACTCCCTTTTTCCTCTATAATGTTTACACACGATATACGGTATACAACGAATTTGGAAAAAATTATATTTCAAATTCAAACGGATACCTACGATTCGACGCAAAGCACTTTCTTTTCTTTCCACCGCCACCGCCGTCGCCGCCGTCGCCACCACCACCGACGACGACGACGACGACTACGATGAAACGCTTTCATCGGACTGACGCCAGAAAAGTACACCCACCCTCGTTGTAATTCCCTTCCTTTGTTTGTATCATGATTTGTTCTACGGAGTAAAGCCCGCTAAGGAGAACGCGTCTTTATAAAATTCGTATCGTTCGTGGTGATTAGCAAAGGAGTTTCGTAAATAACGCGCTGTTACAGTAATTCCTATAAATAGAGACAAGCATTCAAAAAGAGTCTCCCACGCGTTGTTCGTCGTGCAGGGAAACAATGAACGCAAACGCAGAAAAGTTTGCGTGGATACTGCGTAAGCTTGTTACAGAAACGCTACGATTCGCTTGTATTTGCTCGAATAATAATGTACGATTATTCACAATTATTGAGACGAATTTCTGTTGTTGTTCAAAAAAAAAAAAATTCAAAATTGGGTTAAACCATCATTTTGATGCAATAAAATATAGTGGATACTATTTCATTAAAAACGAGGCTACTCATAAGCGCGAACAACATTCCCGTTTCTTCTGTAAGTTTTTGCGGTTCAATGTGAGAAATCCTTTGAGAATTTTCTATGCTCCATTTGCTGCTTGTTGCAAGAGATACTAACTAGTCATACGACCTTTTCAATATTAACAATGCATACGTATTTCATGCAGTGAGCATACGTCTGACTATGACTGGTACATTGCCCCTAACATGCCTCCCTCTTAGACAGCACGTGTTTCTTGCTACATTTTCACATTTCCAGCTTCTCGTTGCTAAATTCCTATAAACGTACACGTTCTATTCGCGTTAAAGAATTTGAGAGTATCTATTCGTGTATCTTCGTACGATTTGGCACTGGTAACGATATATCAGAATAATAACTCGCTGAATAAGTGATACTCTGTTAAGGCACTGTTATAGCAAACACCACTGTACTCTACGTAATGTGGTCGGTAATACCTAAAAACGCGACATGAAATAAATTAATTTAAAAATTAATTTACTGACAAGTCAAAGTGAAAAGTATGCAAGTTGAATAATAGAGGCGCGAAAGGATCCACGTGCCATTCGATTTTGTTCCTAACGTACGGTCAAACTCCGCCTAGCAACAAGGGGGACGTATAAAGTTGCTGGGTAAGCCCGTCCGATAAATCTGAAGGAATACTCACAGCGAAGAAGAACCGTTATCGCTTAGTTTCACGCGCGGAAGTAACACAACGAATACGAATGTAATCGTAATCGTAATCGTAACACCATAATCCAAATCGTTAAACACCGTTCGATGATCGCGGTGATTAAATCGAAGTGAAATCATATATCGAGGTAAATTGTACGATGGTGTTAATTGGAGAGAAAGATGTTTTAAAAACGAAGGTCTGATGATCGTGGTTAAAAATTCGAGCAAAAAAATAGTAAATTGTGTTGCACCGTAATTTCGCGCACCGATGCTCTACTTTAAGAAAAGATACCACGTCGACGCGAACGTTACTCCTGAAAATTGTATTATCCCTCGGATGAATAGGTTTGCTTGGAATATTCAAAATATTTCAAAACGTGATCGTCTTTTGTCATTTGTTCGTATTGACCCAGTTAGGAGTCTCGATCGAGATCGTTCGTATGAACCGGAAGGAAGAACGAATGATAGAACAAAGGTAAATGAGTAAACGGAAAAACGGTGATAGCGATTGGTTTGGTAAGACGGGTGCTTACCTTTCGAGAGGCGGTTCAAGATGAGATCTTTATGTTGCGCGGTATGAGGCTCTGGAAGCACAACGAGAAGGTAACAACCACTTAGAGGCGATGGTGGTGGATGTTGCTGTTGAGAGCCTGGTGGCATTACGTTACCGGTTACCGGTGTAACCGGAGATATATTTTGTTCAATATTTGTTGACGATATCGTAGTCCTCTCCCCTCCCCCTCCGCCCTCGCCGGTAGGATCCGTGGTACTCATTACTAAAAGAGAAACAAAAAAACGAAAGCACAGTTAGTCCAAGATTTCAGTTGCCCCCCTACCCCTTCCGCTAGCAGTTTCCTCGCCTCGTTACCGAATACCTTATTGGAAATCTACGAATTCTGCATTTGTTTACCGATATACTTTCGAATCCAATTAAATCGATATTCGAGCAAAAATTTTAATCGACAATTTACAACGCTGCTGCTGCAAGTATACGCGAACGACTGTCACTTGTTCCGTCACCGTGGCTGACATATGACATCATGTTTCTACTAGTAGTGATTTTAAACCGTTTCCCTCGCCCGTCTTCTTCGTGCTCTAGTATTCCTCTTAACTGCGCACCATCCTATATGGATAAAAAGCGAACAAACAATGTAATAAATGGTTCTTTTTACGATCAACGTATCGATATGTATACGTATATATGTTGCATTAAACTCGATAATGAAACGATCGAAAATAATTCGAGGAAGATATTTCGGAAGCTAAGACGGCCCAGCTGTACATGGTTGCGAAAAAATAAAAAATGAATTATACTCGGAGCAATAAAAGTATCGATAATATAAAGAGAAAAGGGCCCAGCGTACTCACGCACGTACGCGTACGTACACGCGAATACGAGATTACGATACGCACGTTCTTCTCTCTAAGTAAAACGTCGATAAAATATCCGTGAAATCTCATGAAAAGCTGCACTATTTCGGAAAGGTTTCAAGAGACACTAATAATGTCTGGCACCGTGGAAAGAATGGTCGAGTTTTGGCTAACGTGATCCCCAAGTGTCGCGTCGACCAGAAGGAACTGTCCATGGTAGAATCTTACCGAGGCAAGAAAATTTCGAGGAAATTCTACGAACAAGTCACCGCGATGTCTAGTCGCGATTTCATGCGTCAAATGTTGGCGCTGGGTATTGCGCAGGATTTGCACGACCCTTTCCCTGAAAAGCGGTAGGGCTATGTCCTATCGTCCAATGCGCAGGACCCGAGCCTCTCCGCACGGCCTTAGATCATTGATCCAAATTCTGGCCAGCCGACTAGAAAACAGGACACGAAAAACTTACTCTGGTCTAGCGATTTCGATGGAAATTCAATTTTTAAGGAACTTCCTATTCGTGAAATGTTGAAATGTTTGGTCGATTGATCGCAGCTGGTTTCGATCCGACTGAAACTTAATCAAGGTACTCGATAAATCGCGATCGAACGACGATCGTGCCGAAGGGATGGACGAGAGGCGAGACGTTATCGGAGAATCGAGGCTCGAGGCTCGATATTCGAAATTGGAGTAAAAGTGTCAAGCGGTCACCCCACCGTGTACCGGCATTGCAGTCTACCCCTTAGTAACAACCCCTTCCGCAGTCCACCCGACCGGCCGATAAAATCTATACGTAGCTCGAGAGAGATTCTTCGAAAATGTTAACCGAAACTTTCGATCGCGCTTATCGTGGTAGATCGTTTAATTAGCATCGAGATTAAAATATAAATATATCGTGGGCTTACCTTGTTACGTGGCACGGTTGCCCTGTTCTAACTCTCGACAGGTATCCGGGAAGGCTTCTCCTTCCGCGGAAAGTGCAACGCTGCAGCGAGGGCAAAGTGTCTGTCGAAGAAAGCCGTAATGCGAATCGAAGACAGTCTGTCTCCCAACGGTCTGGCTCCTCGTCTAAGCTTGGAGTCGCTCCACCCGACCCACCTCCGGTTTCCTTCGTGTACTGTGGCCCGTGCAAAGAGGAGAAAGACAGACCGTCAGTGGAAGGGCAGAGGAGAGGGGCAAAGGGATAGTGACAGGAGACCGGTGTATTCGCGAATACGATGATGACGTTGAAGGGTATGAGAGAGAATCGTCGTACGGCGCGGCCGACACTATTATGCGAAATACGAAACCAATAGGACAAAACGTGCCTGTTCAACGTACAAGTAGAATAACGATGGTCCCGCGGCAGACTCGTTCTGCCTGCTACGGTTCACGAAATGTCTGTTCTCTCTACGCCTCGGTCGACGACAGAACTCGAATCTACTCGGCAGCAACACTCGCGTTGCAAGCTGCCGGCTCTCTGACGAACTTGGTGATATCCTGCGTCGCTGCCACGCAGAGCCATCCCCTTCCTTGCAATCGTTCCAGTATCCCCCACCACCGGTGCGCAATCGCCCCGATTCCTTGATTCCGCGCAGTCCAGACTGTCTATGCAGTCTCGCCGGCTACGCTACGCATACACACCGTCGCATCATCAGAAACGTCGCAATGTAGTAGACACGTTTCACTGTGTACGACGAACAACCTATCTATGTATGTACACATGTTCCTCAAACGTATATACATACATCGACGAACCGGGGGGTACAAGCAACGTGCTCGTGCAGCTGCCTGCGTGACTGGCTGTGACACGGACCGGCAAGCCGGCCGGCGCGTCGCGACGCGCCGAGACGCGCCGCGCCGCGCCATGCCATGCCGTCAGAAGCCGCCAGTATCGAGGGAAAGGACTTGCACCGGAAATGGGGAAGAACGAGAGAGGATCCAGACTTTGAGGCCGTACTCCGCAGTACGGGCGCGGTTATTTGGGGGAAAATGTTACGAGGTGAAATAATGACCAGCTAAGGAGCACGCGATACGTTCGTCTGCCATTGCGCCGCGCCGGCCGGCACACCGTGAGAACTTAACGGGGTTACGCCACCTTTGCGACGAAAAATATCGAAATCTTCTCTTTAGAAAATCAATGTCGGATCGCACCAAATCTCTTAGTTACTATTCTATATGTATTACCAAGGAAGCTAGTTTATAGATTCAACGGTACCTTGAAATTGAACAAATTTATCTTAGCATTCTATCATTCTAATTACAGAACCAAAATCCAAAAAAATTTGGATTTCGACAAGTTTTCAGTTTCAAATACCGATGTAGTCAGAACCAAGACCGCCAACGTATGTCAATGCCTAAAATAATAATATTTTCATGAGTAAACATTGTTTCATCTTGAATAAGAAAATTCACACTTTTGTATACCTATCACACAAGATATTCTTCTGGATATTCGCGTTAAACGAAACACCCTGTGTCCGCTTCATTTTATGCAAAACACTATACAATGCTCTTTGCTTTCCATTGGTATAATTACCGCGTTGTCCTAGAAAATCAGATCCGCCATTCTTACGGAATTACACATAGATATAATGAAAATATGCAATATAAAATAAACAAACGCATCAAAACACGTTCCATGCTTGTCATGTTCATTTGTCGCAATGCAGGGAGAATCCGTGTCTCTAACAATACTTATCTCCATTCTTTCGGGCGTCTTCTTAAACGGAAACTGTCCGAAGCAGACGTTTTACTACATTTTTATATAAAACGCGAATGGATATCCGACGCCACATTCAATAATATAACATGCATGTATACTTGATCGTAATTTAATTCGCTATACTCGACGCAATTCGTACCACATTTATCAATCGGAATACCTCGACGAATTCGGAGACAAATATTTTAAAGGGTAAAATGTTTTGTCATCGTTTAATATTTATTTGTTGCAAAATTTGTGCTATTATGATAAAAGCAAAGGGGCAGAAACGCCAACTGAAACAAATGATCACGTCGTTAGTTTGGCACGGGATCAATAAACTTCGGTGGTAGCAGGATTCGGCAGAAATCTACAGTCTGCAGTCCTTCACGCATTTCTACACGACCTCATACTTATCGATTTAAAATGATAAAAAATATAATCGTAAGATATTTAAATGTTTCAATTGGCAACTATTATTCTATTAATATCGATATTAAACGACGAGATAAACGGTTATTTCTCAATTGAAAATAACATATTGAAGTCAATAGATGTTCCGAAAGCGAATAACGTATACATCGTGATTTACTAAGATAAATATATACTCTAAAAGTTCATACAATCACCGTTCGCGGAGAAAAAAATGTAATTACCCTACTTTTAAAGACCCTGAACATACAGCTACCATCAACGAATAATTTGAAAAAATTTGACGATTATCGTACACGTATTGCGATCGTATGCAATCCAAGTTGCGTCGCGTTTAATCGGTTACGTTTGTGTACCGGATAAGCCATCTAAGAGCATTTTGTCTATGCCCACAATAGTTAAAAAGCAATTAAAACTCGGTAAAAGCTTTCGGAACCAATTCAATTTGTACGTACTGTATTTATCTCCATCACCCGTACGTATCGATCGATTGATTTTCGTCGAACGGAAGATATAGCTGATAGAAATCGCGTTGTAATTAACATGTTTGTAGATCAACCGGTCGATTCATCGATTCGTTGGTACCTTCGATTGCCGCAATGCATCTCAGAATTTCAACCGCGTATATCCGACCTCCGGTACCCTGCCCGCATCACATTTATATTCTTACTCGTTTCCAACAATATAGACACATACCTAACGGATATTAAACATTTAAATGCAAGTGTCTTCTAACGCATTTGTTCAAGAAAAAAAAAGAAGAAAAAATTAACAAAGCCGCGTGACAAAGATTAAAGATATTTAATTTAATATCTCGAAAGAGCGGCTTTCAATTTTACTTTTCGCGTTTACTTGGTTGCGTATGGTTCCTTTTCGTGGATATTTTCCTACGAATATAGGTTTAAAGCGTAATCAGGGTACGAACCAGGAATTTTCACGGCACTGGCCATAGTGCGCGGCGCTAGTATTGACCGGCATCCCTTACTAACCGTGTTACGAACATCAGAAACCAAAATATAGTATCTCTTCGAGTCGGGGATACTATCTTCCACCGTAACGACGATGCGTCCTGTGTCATACACCTTCTTCTACACACCTGCGTACAGCATCGTCGAACAAATGCGTGCACGGAAGATCATCGGGACAACGTACGAATGTTTCTCGGTACGCACGTAACTCCTGTACTCTTCGATCGTCCGATAGTATAACGCTCGACAGATATTTACTCCTAAAAAGGTACGAATACATACATACACGATCGCAACTCTAACAAATAATCGTGATAAACGATACGAGACTCACCAACATCTCGGAACAATAAATGCATAACGTTAAAAAGGATTACCTAACTGATTCGACAAATGTCTGCATTGCAGATACATTCGGGGGATTAGAACTCTGAAAATTATTCTTACTCGGTGGAAATACGGCGTTGATCACTCTGAGAAAACTATTGGGGGGAGGGGGGGCTGAAACGAGTCAAAATACCACTCGGTCTTGTAATAAGGCGAAACCGAACGAGACTACATATATATATTACGAATACATGTTGTAACGAACAATGACACTTTCGCTTATGTGTTAATCACGATGACATATACACCCCCTCCCAAATCACGGTTTCTTTTCTGTATCTAATAAGAACTCTGTAAAGCACCTTATGCCAACGCAACTAATTACGGTCATAATTAGTTTTTTAATGGACTCGCTCGTGTGGTTTCAAGAGAAAACCCAGCCCAATATTAAGTACCACCAGTTATTCTCAAAATTGAAGAAAATGTATGCAACAGAAAACATTCAAACGAACAAATAAATATATTCAAAATACATTTCTGGCTTCGATATCGTTAAATAACATAAAAAAAAAAAAACTATCGAAATTTGAAGATGAAACGATGTCGCGGAAAATATTTACCCTTACAGATTTATCTATACGAAATATTACAGTGATAAGAGGCTTTATTGCCTCGCCTAATTTTCATACAGAATCGATGATTTAATCGACGATCGATAGCCTGGCATCCAATATGAATTTTAAATAAGCGTTTCAAGTCCTGGTGCAATTAAAATACTAATTAAAGAGTCCGTGACTAAAAGCCTGGCGAAGCATAGCGAGACACGAAGCTTTCCCCCGTCAGGAAATACATTTACGTACGCCTAGGCTTACATACGTACACACTCGATAACCGTACAAGTATTTTCATCGACGATTCGTTATTTCATCGTTCGAATTGCTTTTACACTTTGCATCTTACTCTTTGTATTCAGTGACGCGATACTTTCAGTGGCTCCGACTCTCGTGGCCTCCTTCCGAAGATTTCAAATTCTTCCTCCACGATAAAGCACGATTACCTGTACCTCTTGCAACGCCTGCATAATGAACGTTAAATGGATTATTCTCGAGCTACCTACTTTTGCATTTTACTTAGACCCATCTGATTACGTACAATCCTACATACTACAATTACATTGTTCCGTGACGAAATAATTGTATGCTCCCGAGTAATCGTGCCAATAAAGGATTAAGTAATTAATCGTCGACAAAATGTCCCTCTCTGATTAATGGTTATTCTCGGTTAGTAACATTTAGTGGTAATGCATACAAGTATCGGAAAAAATCGACCGTACCCGAAAATACGATTTTATCGAAGGGGGCAGAGGCTGGGCGTTTACGAGGCGCCACGACGACGGCGTCTCATCGATCTGACTAGCCGAATACCGCAGCCACTTACAATATACATCGACTGTATACCGGACCATAGGAAATCCACATATCCGCAGAGAGCTGCCGCCACTGCAAACGAATATACTATGCCGGTTACTCCTACACTTTACCACTACCTTTGATCACCTCTTCTATTGTGTTTCATTTGTTCGCTGTTATGCTTATAATACCAACTCGACGCAAAGTGAAATCAGTGCTTTATTTTCTGAAATGGAACGGAACAATAAATAGTATCATCCTCTAACGATCTATCAACGACGTACACGGTCGTTTTCTTGTTAAAAAAAATTTATCGAGCTATTATTTTACTATACGCAGTAATTCACTGAAAAAATAAACTCACTGGGGGCCTCTTTCATACCAATTTTCTATCACAATTTTCAAAAATATTGTACATAACATTCGAATTTGTTTCTACTTCATAATTTGGCGATTGTGAAACGGAACAATTGATGAGTAGAAAGGATAGGAAAAGAGTACATATTTCGTCCTAAACTTTCGAAATTGGAAACTTCTCGGCATAGCTACGTACCCTAAGAGATCCTCTCTCAAAGCGAGCACATTCCGTGACAGAATAAATAATAGGTTAAAAACTTGTTAAAAGACGATAGACGAACCCTCTATTGGCGATTGCATGAAATGCTTTTGTAATATAGATACTCGTGTCCGACATTTATGCATCCTATTGTTACATCTCCGTAAATGGATTAATTCGATCGTAAAGGGGAATGTTGATGAGACACTCCTCCTTCGCGGTACGTTTGTCCAACATAGGTTGCTTGCGTCTAGGTTAGATCATAGAAAAAGTATAACATAGACGCAACATCCAATGAAAATTATCGACCGAACGAGGAATAAGGCTAATCGTCGTTACCGGTAAAAATGAACACTAACTACGTAAACAGTAGTAAATAAACAAGTGGTAATTTTATTTCCAACAAAAGGTTTTATTATAAGAATCTAGTTTTATAGTTTTCAAGTGTGCAACGATTGCTGCAATAATGCGATATAAAAGTAGTATAAAATTAAGGAATATTGGCAAGATAGTCCTTGACACTGGAGGGATCCAATCTTCTGAAACCACTCGCGTCACAAATACCAACTTCTATATTATCAGCGGTCATCTGACCCTCGAAACCTTCCTTTAGCGTTAAAATGGCAGTGTGAACGGCATCGTCCAGCTCCAAATCCTCGCTGTACCTTTTCTCCAGAAACGTTTTACCGTTTATAAAATTCTTACCCATAGCAGTCGCCTTCCACGCGAAATACGCTCCAGAAGGATCGCATTGGAACAGATAAGGCTTGTTGTTATCCCATCCGCAAATTAGCAGGGATACTCCAAAAGGCCTAACTCCGCTGCATTTTTTAATTTATAGCACGTTAGCCACAATATACAATGGGCAAATAAAAAATAATTTCCGAAATATTTACCCAGATTGCGTATATTCCTGCATAAGCATGGCTACTCGTTGCACCAGCTGAGCAGTCGGTATTGGTTCCTGATACACGAGCAGGTATTGCTGTGCCATTTTACGAGCTTGCTTTACCAGCAGCCTATAGTCTGGTCCCATCCCACTATAGGTCATGCCAATATGCTTCGTAATCATTTCCACTTTGTTTACACTATGTTCATCGTATAATATGGATTTGTGCTTATTCTCTGTGGCAAGGACAATTCCATTGGAGGCCTTGATACCGACGCTAGCTGCTCCAGCAGCTACAGCAGCCAGGGCATATTCTATTTGCACTAACTTTCCAGATGGACTGCGTAACAAAGTAAATTGATTTCTATACTATGGCAGTTAAGCTGCATGGATAACTGTCGAGTCATTATGAACCCCATTGATATCAATATTTTCCATAAAAAGAATCACGTAAAGTTCATTGTTGCGGTAAATTTTTCGCCGATAATACTGCACGAGAGAATTTCAATGTACATTCATCGATCACTTTTGTAAACTAATGCGAGTGACTACTTGTAAGGTTATATTGCTACCAAGAAACTTTAATCGTCGAAATTGTATGAAAAGGACGTTAACGTATCAAGATTAATCTTCGAAATCTGTAAATCGTTGCGAATAAGTGACAGTATTTACCTGAAAGTCGTTAACGAGAAACTGTACCGTTCCGAAGCCATGACAATTACTTTGCAACAATACAGGTTACTAAATATTGTGAACCTTAGGTTACAACGTTCAACAACGCGAAGAAACGAAAACAGCAGAGACCTCTACGAATCTAGGGACTTTTTGATATAGTATTTCCAATAGATGTATCTCATGTAAATAAAATATCTAAAATATTAAAATTCATTTTCCAAATAATGGACACAAATTTCATAAAAATTTGTTCATTGGGTCGATGACTCATTTTAAGTTATAACATTATCAAGTTCCTAATAACTCCTATTTCGTAACACTTGCCATATCTAGATTATGTACACACGTACTCTGGAAGGGAACCGCCTTCATAATGATACATGCTTAACAAATACTATTTTAATTGCTACGATTAATGACCTATTTGAAACTTTAATTACCGCGAAATAATTAAACAGTCTAAATACTCTGAATTATCTAGATCCAAATATATTCTGTAGAAATGTGTCAGGATATGTAAGAAAGTATGAGACCTATTCAATAACTTGTTGATCAATATATTAGATCGAAAATCCTTGTTTTATTATTATAAGAGTAACAGTATATGGTTCCACGTTTAATTTTTGAGCACATTAATAGTTTATAGATAGTATTGTGCACAAGTATAATATGTGAGATGTTGATTGTTTTGAATCTTTGTGTTATCACTTTTTGAGTATGAATTTTAGAGTAAAGCTAGTCTATTAGCAAAGAAAAAAGAAATTAATATCGAGATTGTCAAGTATTTCGAGAATAATGTCCTTTTAAACGTTATCCAAAGCTATGTAAAGTTCAAATAACACCATCAATCATTTCATAACCTAAATAAATAGATATTTCAGTAAGTACATACAGGGCATCGATAGACATTTGAATAAAATTAAAAATCGATTCGATATCGGTGAACAGTCCAACTTCAAATAAAAGAATATCAATTCCGTGACGGAATCTGCCGACTATTTCGGACGAGAACCCTTTGAAATCGAGTTCCCCTTGCACGAAGAAATTCTTGGTGAATTCGTGCAAAATCCAACGCTAGATCGCGGGGAAATATGTCCAGTACGGTCACGTAGGTACTTTCTTCGTTGCGTGTAATAAATTGCATCTAATTACAACAAGTATCGATCAAGGAAACCCGAGATGGCCGACGAGAACGAAAAGAGTCCGGATGATCGATCGGAGGAGCTGTACACGTGGATTTCCATGATTCCATCCTTGAAACAGAAAAAAAATTTACCAAGAGACTTTTCGGACGCTGGTACCGACACCATGATTTTTCATTTTCTATCGTTTGTCCAATTTCCCGGCATTACCTCGCGTCCTCCTTTTTTCAAACAATTATGAAATATATACGTATATATGCTCTTTAGTTTTGATGGCGGAGATCCTCAAGGTATATTACCCCCGTTACGTTGATCTCCACAATTACGTGCCAGCCAACAGCTTGACGACGAAGAAAGAAAATTGGGGCATCTTAAATCGGAAGGTGTTCAGCAAAATCGATATGAAATTGTCTAAAGATACGATCAGTCAGCTGGCGAATTCTCATCCCGGGGTCGCTGAACATTTATTGCTAGAGCTAAGGGACAAAGTTTTGTGCAACGATAAGGAGAAAGGTAGCGCGAACGAAATACCGATACGCCGCGCCGGTAGAAATCATTAATTGTATACGTATGTATATTTCCAAAGCATATGGTACTTTGCATAGGCAAGAACAAGAAGTATGCTACGATAGAAGAAAATTCGTGTTTCGCCGACCGATTAACCGCAGAGACAGAATGCTCCCGTAGATCGATCTACGCACGTGTCAAAGAGAGACTGTTCTTTATCGTGCAATGGCTGCTAAGTTGGCTATGCGTTTGGAATTATTTCCCAAGCATAAAGTTCCGTAAGTTATTAAGGGGTAATTCTGATAACGTAAAAGTTTAAAAAAATGTATCTGATTCGTATATGTATATATGTATACATAGGTGCGTGTGTTAAAGGGAAAGAAAGTACCGACACAGTGTCCAGGACGGAGAACACATGGGAGAACAGAAACGTCGAAGACGGTTCCATTCCTCATTACGTCTGTACGCAATTGAAGCAAGAACTTTGCGAAAAGGACGACATTATCTGTACCTTGAATCGCAAGGTCGAATATCTGGAGAGCGCGATGAAAGTGAAGGACCTGCGAATATCGAATTTAGCGTCGCAAATCTTACAGAACGCCGTGGACTCCGAGCAGCTCGGAAAAGTTCAAACGAACAACGATACACAGATCAAATCTCGATTTCAATTGCTACACGTTCGGGATAAATTTAAAGTGGAGGAATAATGGTATAGCGTTTTAAATAAATATCGCAACGTTTCTTGTCTTTTTTGGTTATTCGGTAAAATTAGCAACAATTTCGGACCCTGCACGAGGTGAAAATCGACAAAGTTACGGATAATTTCGAACCGAATATCACCGAGAAAATAAGAAAGTCTATTTCTCCGAAACAGAGTTGGGCGATTAATAGCGCATTAATGTGAAACGGGGGCTTGATAGTATCGAGCTGGTTGAACTTTAATTAGTTTTAAGCGCGGCGATGGTGTTGTTTGAAATTCAGATCTTTGTAATTACGGGACATCGAGCCTTTCGACAATTTGAAACTGTTGCAAGCAAAAGTATCATAGAAGTAAATATAATCGAGGTAAATAACGTATGTATGAGACACGTGGATGTTTTTTTAGAACACGGCTACAGGGAACTTGACATTAAAGTTTGTAAAAGTCACTCTGAACGTGTTCGCCTTCTTTCTCGAATCCCCGAAGCTGCCCGAAGCGCATAAACTCGCGTACACGTGGTTGTGCATTAGTGTGCGCGAGTGGAGGGACAGTTTTCTCCGGTTACCGGTCTACCGTCTGGTCACGTCACGTATCGCAATGTCAGTATAGAGACAACGCTCTAACAGGAAAGATACACGCATCTTTTACGTAGCATCTTTCAACCAGTTTTAATGACAATTTGGTAGTAATTAATGTGAGTATAATTCAGCGTCAAGTTAAGTTAAGGAAACTTTTTCACTCGTGCTCGATGCTTCATACTATTTATGCTGCTCTTACGAAATTCGACTACCTCGCGTACTCGTTCGACTATTCTTCGAATTACTGTAAAAGGTTCTCTACGCTGGCTAACGTACGTAAACTGCACGGCTGTAAACTATATGTTAATTTCGAAATTTCACGGTAAAAAGTTTCTATAAATAGCTAGAACTGAAATATTGAAAAGGTAATTAAATAAAGGTAATTAAATTCTCAAGGTGGAAAAGTTACAGAACCTATTATACATACATATAAAAAGTAAAGTGCATATATAATAACGCAATAACAGATTACAGAACAGGTGCAAAGTATTATATACGTATACGCTAGAGCATTCTGACATTTACCGGTGGCACAAGTAAACAATCATCCGGGTTCATTCTTTACGGCGAATTTTAATCGGTACAGACTGTAGAAGAAACCGGTTTTCCTCTGCCTCGGCATAAGCTGTAATGACGAAGATGATGGTTCGAAAAGAGACACCCGTACTGTAATTTCCTCGTAATAGAATAAGAAATTCCCGTGTATAATACCGTATTTTTTTTAAAGGCGTCGCGAGTGGCTAAAAATTGTTTCGTACGACAAGGTATTCCGTCGAGTAGAACGTCAGTGTCCGATATGTCTAACGATCCGTGTTCACGGTCATCGACCTTCGACTAACGTTCCATCGCACGGGAGATTTCAATGCCAAGAGAAGCGTTCCAGCATTGTTGAAAGGATTAGCCGTAGCTACCACATGATTTTCGCGTCTGAATCGTACACGTTTGCTCTAAGAACACGCATAAATGTCCGAGAACAGTTTGAAATAATTCGTGGACCCGGTCGCGGTCATTGCATCTGTTCGCATCGTCTTGCTTTCACACGCTAATCGATTTCCATGTATATTTCGATGCCGCTTTCCAAAGAAACTTTCCCCACGACGGGTGCACAAAAGTATCACGCATTATTATCGAGCACCGTTCGTTTAGATCATGCTACCGAAGATAGTGTCTTGCACGACGCTGTGTTACTTGGCCGTAGCCTCGTTACTCGTTGCGCTTCTGCTACTCCTGGCGGTGTACTTTTACGCGCAGTACACTTTGGGGATTTGCAAGAGCAAAAAGAAAATGGACGGGAAGACTGTGATAATCACTGGTTGCACTTCTGGTATCGGGAAGGAGACCGCGAGAGACATAGCGAGGAGAGGTGCTAGACTGATCATGGCCTGCCGAAATATGGAGGCCGCGAACAAATTCAAAGGTTCGTCGACTAAATTCGAAACCGTCGCATCGGTGTTGTTAATTAATTTTCCGTAAACGACGGATCGCTGGTAAACTATCGCGAGCGTAGTTCAACGATTTCCAAGTTACATAAATTATAATCATCCGTTAAAGAAAGTTGTTAATTACTAACAGACATGTATCATAATATTTGCAAATGTATGTCATTAGCGAGCAAAACCCTCGCGACTGCACATTGTACAGGGTTCGTTAAAATTGATGAGTCAGACTTTGGTTGCGCGTAGTACAGAGTCAAAGTGTAAGCGAAAGCAATTACCAAATATGAAAAGTAGAAATTAATAGTGCCCGAGTTTCGAGGAAACATTGAATTGCTACTAAACTGGAGATTTGAATGTTTGATACATCAATTTTAGTAAATTCTGTAGAACGATTTGAATATTCTCAAGTCACTTCCATTGATATTTATAATGATAGTCATTGCATCACGCGTCGGTCTTCGGCTAATTGCATGCTAATGCTTGGAGAAATAGAATCAAATAATATTTGCAAAAGAAATTGTTATTTGCATCGCGCGACGTTACATTTTACCGGAATTTTATAAAAAAAATCTTATTATTTAATATTTACTTGGGGCTTCGCAGAAGAACTAATAAAAGAATCTGGCAACAACAACATAGTCGTCCGAAAGCTCGATTTGTCGTCGCTTTCCTCGGTGAGAGAATTCGCCCAACAAATAAATCGCGAGGAGAACAGGTTGGACGTGTTAATTCACAATGCTGGCACTGCAGAGGTGTTCAGGAAGAAAGTTACAGAGGACGGTTTGGAGATGACTATGGCAACGAATCACTATGGTCCATTTTTGCTTACGCACCTCTTAATCGGTGAGATAACTCATCCATGTAATGGATAATGATCGTACCAGTTCCTTGAACTTGTTTTATATGTAAACTCGCTAAACATCGGCCCGTTTGTTTAATGGCAACGATTTGTCCTTATCTTATTATCTGAAAACCCATTATCTCGTGCATAGATTTGCATATTCGTAGATCTCATTGTCAACATTTCACCGAGTTTATAGACGTCGAAATAAGTAATGTGAAAAGATTTAAGAGCACGTATCATGTTCCTTCTTGCTCACAGATCTGTTGAAGCGGTCGAAGCCAAGTCGCATAGTTGTCGTCGCTTCAGGATTGTACGTTCTAGCGAGATTGAACTTGAACGATGTAAATCCAACGACAACCATGCCTGGGTATTTGTATTACGTTTCTAAATACGCGAATATCGTATTCGCGTTGGAGTTGGCGCGACGTCTCGAAGGTTCCGGCGTGGCCGCCAATTGTTTGCATCCCGGACTAATGAGCACCGGGATCTGGAAGAACGTTCCTCCGCCAGTCTCGTGGGTGTTGAATTTCATACTGAACACGTTCTGTAAAACGCCTGTGCAAGGCGCCCAAACAACCATACACGTTGCCGTTTCCGACGAGCTCGATGGAACTTCTGGCAAATACTTCTCGGATTGTCACGTAAGACGATCGTTACTCTCGTTTAACGTTATCGCGATTTAGATCTAGCTTATTTCTTATTCTGTTAATTTAACGTCGTGACAGAATCGTTTGATTTTTTCAGGAACAGGAACTCTTTCGCCACGTGAAGGACCCGTCAAAAGGCAAAAAGTTCTGGGAGCTTAGCGAAACGATGGTGAAACTGCAACCAACGGATCCAAAAATTTAGAATTTTCTTCTATCTTTTTTTTACTCGCGTATTAAAAATATTTAACAAGGCTATCGCCCTCTATAAATGTACATCTTGATTTTAACTATTTTCGTTAAATGAAATTATCATAATAAACGTTCTTTTTTTAACATTTTTCGTACACGATCTCTACCGATCACCTATATTTCTTTATCCTCTGGTACATTGATGAGAGAGTTCGAACTGCATTAGAAACCGATAATCATAAAAATCGTTGTGTGTTTTGAAACATATTTTGCGTTCAGTGTTTCACGTTTTTCGTGTCCGACGGTAAAGGGAACAGTCTTTCCCATAATCGCATTCTATCGGGGAAAAAGACATTTTTCATGGTTGGACGAGGACTGATCTCCAAGAAATTAGTTCTCGCGGGTACGAATGTACTCCAAGTTACACCCTTGAATCTATCGTCGTTCCTAGGAATTGGTTCACCGGTTTCTACAAAATTAGCCCACATCGAGGTGGAGACTTCCACCATTGGGATTTCAGGCGCGTCAGGTTCAAAGTACGGGAAGAGTTGCTTCATATAGAAAAGGTACTGCAGGTCGTCCTGATGATCTACATCTGTAACAGCGTGAGACAAGTTTTCGTGAAAACCGAACCATGAAACGATTTAAAATAAAATATGAAACAGTATTACCGAACGGCGTGGTGTCGTTCCACATCCGAAAACTGTAGCGCGACTTGTAATTAAATTTGTAAAAGTATACCGGCTGGTTGGACTTCGAAGCAAATATCTTAGCCGCACGATACATGCTAAATATAATTATTCCGTCGGCATACACCTGCAAAACGTTTACGATTTTTCAATGTGATCGACGTAAAAATGACCAGTTTTAAAAGTTGGTTTTCACATACGTCGGAAAGTCCTTGAATAGTTTCCGAACCGATTGGCTGATCATCGAAGTAGAATCGCCGTAATTCGTTGCTGATGTGGTTCGATCGCGGTGTGTCGCGTTCGTAATAGAATATAATCGGGGAAAGGCGGTTCCAGTTCTCGTCAAGTTCCTCGTACAGTGTACCGTTGTTTAACGCGTCTTTTTCATAAACTGCAACGCAAAGGAATACGCGATTTACATATAGGAAGATCAATGTCGTGGGTCATACACTTACGAGAAGCTACTCCGCCAAATTCGTTCTCCGTGACACCGAGAATGTAAGGAACCTGTTTGAATTTTCCTTGTTTGATCAAGTCGTACGGTTGAGCGGTCAAGAATCTCTCGACGCCGCGGACTTGGGGCTCGATCGTTGGTTTCCAGAGTAAAATTGGATTTCCACGCCAATCCTGCGACGATAAAAACATTGATGTTTTATTACATACATTTACGAATTGATTTTCAAACTCACAAACAACGACTCCAACGTGTCGGTAAAGTTCTCAACGGGTTTCGTGCACAAACAGAGCAACATCGAGCCGGTTGAGTCGGTGGGACAATCCAACAACCTGGCCAGTTTCGTAGAGAGCTGTTTCTGCCCGTTGGTTGCAATTCCGGAGTAGACATCCGGGGCCATGGCCGAGGCGCTCATCGAGATAGCTCTGTGAAACAGATCTCCGGACATAGGGGACACCATATGCAGCATAATACTGAGACTACCGGCACTATCGCCGCACAAAGTAACAGCATTCGGATCGCCACCGAACGCGGCGATGTTTCTTTTCACCCAACGAAGGGCCACCACCTGATCTTTCAGACCCATGTTACCTGGCGCCAAATTCTCACCGGTGCTCAAGAAACCTGCAAACAATCTGTCTGATCTATCGTTCGAATTTGAGAAATCTGCTCGTTTCGTTACCTAACGCTCCGAGACGGTAATTGATTGTGACCAAAACGATATCTTTGTCCAGAAGATACTGCGGCCCGAACAGCAGACTCTGCCCCGAAAAGCCATAAAAACCGCCCGGATGTATGAACACCATCACTGGTCTCGATACATTTTCGTTTTTGCAGGGCAACTGTAATTCAAAATTAAGTCACTCTACTATCGAACCTTTATCGTACCTTTAACATATACTCACTTTCGTAGTGTACACGTTTAAACGCAGACAATCTTCGGATTGCAATTGACCTTTCGACTGAGGACAACTGGGCCCTTCCTCGCTGGCATCAAAAACGCTCTGCCAGTCTGCTGCTGGAACCGGTGGCTGTACAATTGGACAAATAACGAGAATAAGTAATAGACGCGATGGGAACAATTTTTATATGTATGTGTCTTATATTTTTATTTATTTATGTATTTTATATTTTTATATTTTTATATGTATATGTATGCTTTATATGTATCGTCCAACGTAACGAAAAATTTATTTACGAGTCTGTGAACAACAATTAATTACGGATTTTGCAAACTGAGAAAAAGATAATCTGTACGTCGAACGATTATTCATAGGTACATAGTGTCGCGATCCGCCTTCAGCATGACTAACTCGCTTATCGCTGAAACGGAAAGCCTAGTTAAGGTACATCTCGAGTAATAGCGAATTACGCGTTATTCTTTCCACCCACAACTTGGCAATTCCTCTAAACATTCGACATTTACTCGAAATATCACTGTCAAAATTCGTACCTGGAAACGTCGATGTCCCGTGGGAGCCTCGGCGTATCTCACGCCGCGAAACGAGTAAATGGTCCTTCCGAGTCGCGAAGTCATGACCGAACCGCGAATTTTACCGGTTGGGGCAGCCACCAGTAGCTGTTTTTCGACGGAATTTTCGGTGGCAATGGTGCCGGCGACGCAGGCCAATACTAATAAAACGATCTTCATTTTCCAGAGTTTCTTCGTCGCTTCTGGAAAGAAATCTGAGACTGTCTTTCAAGACGCGTTGACTTGATCCAGTTAACCGGTACGCTCGGTGCTTGTAACAGCACTGACATACTCAAGGGCAAAACCGAACAATTTATGGAGGAGCAACGAGGAAAACGAGTGGGGAAATCCGGCAACCGTCTGGAAACAATAGTACTTAGAAACGTTTACGCGAGGTCACCGCACATTTAAAGCCTTATCAAGAAAATAAAATCAAGACGAGCATGCACGAATGTTAAGTAGTAATTGCACTTAATTGCACATTTATCGATACGGACGATTAAAAGTGTAGCGAAGTCGCGGATGTCAAGAACCCGCGTACCAGAAATTAAGTAAACAAACGATAATGAAAGCAAATCTTACTCTAACACATTTTATTAATACACAACTGGTACACAATAAACAATTCGATTACGTCAGATTTTTTTTACTTTCCAACAAGTATGCGAACGGACTGAGATTACCCTCCTTTGAAACAGTCGATTTCTGTCCAGTGTTATCGGACGAGTTTTCTAACGGAACAGAAAGATACAAGATATGAGACGGTTACGAATTAAAAATTCTATTTATTGTAATTCTTACTTTATGCGGGTTTTGGTACTGCGGGTAGAGGGAAGAGTCTTTCCCATTCTTGCATTCTGTCCAGATACAGGCCAGTTCTCATGGTCGGGTTCAAGTTAATTTCCAAGTAATTGTCTTGCTCTGGGATAAACCTGTCCCATCTGATCTTCTTATACGCCCCACTCTTGGGAACTGGATGGCCAGTCCCCGCGAAATTCGTCCACATAGACGTGTACAGGTCTACCATTGGGATCTCAGGCGCGGATTTATCGAAAAACGAAAAGATTTCCTTCATGAAGAACAGATACTGCAGATCGTCGTGGTGAACGATACCTAAAACAATCTGCTCGTAACAACGATTCGTACAATTCAAATACCACTGTATAAGAAACGTAAAGTTACCGTATGGTGTGGTGGAGTTCCACATAGCAAAGCTGTAACGGCCTTGATACGTAAACTCGTAGAAATAGACCGGTTCTTTGGAGTGTCGAGCCATCAGTTTCGCGGTACGATACATGGGAAATATGATTACACTGTCCGCATAGATCTAAAAATTGTCAATGACAATTTTCTTACGTAATCGATAAATGAGAAAGCGCTATCGTTGGGTGAAACGTACGTGGGCGAGACCGTTCCTGTTATTCGAGCCAAGTGGTTCATCATTGAAATAGAATTTCCGTAATTGATGGCTGATATATTTTGATCGTGGCGTTCCACATTCGTACATGAAACTGATCGGTGCAATCCGATCCCAATCGTCGCTCATCTCGCCATAATAATCGTTTCCTTGTCTGGTTTGATTCTCAAACGCTTCGAAACACAAAGGGGGTTTTAACGATCAGCGAGAAAATTAACCGCTCTTTCTCTCGTATATCTATATATAATTACCAACAACTACGCCGCCAAATTCGTCTTTGGTTACTCCAAATATAGCTGGGACCTGATTGATCTTCCCTTGTCTGATCAGATTAATGGGTTGATCCGTCAAAAATCGCTCGACCCCTGGGACTTCCGGTTCCACGACTGGCTTCCAGATCACAATTGGATCTCCGTGCCATTCCTAAAACATTATGAATGACACTCGGTGCTTTTCAATTACCGAAATTAAGAACTTGTTTCGACAATTTTAAACTAACAAAAATTTTCGCCATAGTGTCCGTGAAGTTTTCGACGGGCTTTGACTTCAAGCAGGACAGCATGGCTGCCGAACTATCGGTCGGACAGTTCAAGAGTTCCGCCTGCTTGTTCGCGAGGTGCTTTTGTTCGGTTGGGTAAAGTTCCGCGGTTAAAAGCGAACCGCTCATCACGATTGCTCTGTGGAACAGATCCTTGGACATTGGTGACAACATATGCAACATCGCGCTGAGTCCTCCGACGCTGTAACCACTGATGGTCACAGAATTTGGATCTCCGCCGAAAGCGGCGATGTTCCTTCGAACCCAACCAAGGGCAATCACTTGGTCCTTCAATCCTAGGTTCCCCGGTGCCGCGGAATCCCCTGTACTCAGAAAACCTGAAACGAATGGGGCGTTTATCGAGTAAATTCTCAAACTTTCTCGATCGGTGCATTCGAGTACCTAACGTTCCAAGACGATAATTCACGGTAACCAGAACGATGTCGTTATCCATCAGATATTGAGGACCAAAGTAAAAACTTTGGGCAGAGAACGAGTAAAAACCACCGGGATGGAAGAATACCAAGACTGGCCTGGTTACGTTCTCGCTCTTCGAGGGCAGCTGCAATTATTCAATCGAGTTAACTTCACGGGTAAAGATTAACCTTAGCGAGTATACACTTTTCAAACTGTACTTTTGTGGTGTACACGTTTAAACGCAAACAATCTTCGGACGTGGATGGCAATCCATCTAAATTTGGACACGAAGGACCTTCTTCGGATGCATCGAAGACGTCGTTCCAATCGGCCGCTGGAACTGCAACCTGTTACGAGAAAATTGCAGGTATTTCTCACCGATATCTCGCAAATATCCGCGTAAAAGGAAATACAAGGGAACTTTTTTATCCTCGCGATCGAAGAGCGACGATTGATAACTTTTAGATAAAAAAAAAAGACAGGAATTTATAAAATTTTATTGAAACTCTTCAACGATCTAAAAGGGGACAAAATAAGAAGCGATAATTTCTTCTTTTTTTTTTTTTAAATTTACCTGAAAACGACGTTCTCCCGTAGGAGCCTCGGCATATCTCACTCCACGGAAGGAATAAATCTTCCGTCCAAGCCTTGAATCTAGAATAGAACCACGGATTTTTCCGGTCGGTGCGCGAGTTTCCGGGCTCGAAGAAACACACTGTACGCTGCTACCGATGCAGACGATACAGGCCAAGATCGTCCAGTATAGCGTCATTCTATCAGAGAAAATTCACTGTTTCCCAAGTTTCCAAATCTTTTTCCCCTTCGAACGAACAAAGTGTGACACGGCGTCTTCGCTCAGCCGACGCTTGAGAAATACTGACAAACCCAGGAATGGAAACAAACATTTTATAATGCACGTAAGAGAAAAAGAAATCGTTGATCAGACGATCGTAACATTAGTAATTCCCCCATTGATTTATGGAGTAACGAACAAAGTTGTTTCTTTATAAATTAAAAATTTCTAGAAGTTATTCTTTTATCGAGCTAGTTATTCCTTGTTATCGTTGCACGGTTCACTTTACGTATAATTTATTGCGCTCGTATTTTTATCTATCCGCGACTGATAGTCGATACTTGTTGTTCGACGCTCGTCGCCAATGTTGAAATGCATTATCTTGACAGTGGTGTGTACGCGAATACAGTCAACGAATTTACCAAGTACCTGAAAGTATTTAAAAAATTCTAAATATCCGTGACACGATCTTAGCCGGATGGCTATTACCGCAGTACACAAAACTGACTATAATTTAAAAAGAATGCTGGGAATAGGGCCTACGTTTCGAATAATACATATTTTATTGCTATTATGTTCCTAACACACCACCAAATATATATAGAAGCGTGTAATCTACTTTACTATCGTCTTTCCTTCTTTGCATAGAATTCAATTGCCACATATGTGATTGTGTAATCGTAAAACGGGAAATCCAGGAAACACGACCGTGAAAACTATGTCGTCTTACATGCCTATTGCACATCAAATTTCCATTCAAATCGATATACGCACGTCTCACAGAACGAGTTCAATCGGCGAAATGTAAATTTAACAAACAAGCTTTAACGCCAAGTGTTTCTTCTATATTATTTACACCAAACTTTTCTGTATTCATTCATTATTTTTCTCGAGCCTCCTACGCATCGTACGATCCTTCTGAGCTCTCTTTCTTTCCCGCATCTGTCTTCTGGCCAAACCTGGATAGATGCAAGGATCGTAAGTTAATTCGTAAGCGATCGGATCGATTGGACGCTTCTTAACGATTTTCCCCGTCTTTTTCGGCGGACATTCGCCCATCTTGTACGGTTTCGTTTTAGGCAACCGTTTACCATAGACCTACGCAACAAATTATTCGATGGTATATGATCATTTTTTCCTCGCGGGTTAAACAATTCTTTTAAAAGCGTTTTACAGGCATTTGAAATATCGGTCTTCCGTATTTGTCCTTTTCGCGCGGTGATTTCCTCTCGATGGGGCTCAAAGGATTCCGTGGTTTTGCCAGATCCTCTACTCTCGCAGAAGCTGAAGCGGCCAAAGCAGCCTTTTTCACCGTGAAAGGGTCGGATCTGATAGCTTTGCTTTCGTGGATGCGTGGTTTTGATAATTCATCCACGCTTGGCGGTACTGAAACGTAACGTAACCATTTGTCGAACCTGTTGGATTCTGATTCCGATTTGTGCAAAAATCTATCAAATACAAACGCAGACCTTTGCCCTCCAACGCTCCTTTTTTGATACGGAAAGGATCATCTTTGCACGGATGCGGTGCATACCTCCAAGCATGTTTCTCTAATTTTCTTCGTTTAGCCTTCCTCCCTTTACCCCTCGTTTCATCAGCTTTTTCTACGGCATCGCCGCTACCCTCCTTCGATTCTCCTTCTTCCAGTTCCTTGTGTTTCCTCTTCCTTCCAATTCTCTTCTCCTGCTCGGCCAGAGCAGCTTTACCCCTTTCCGACCCGTCCTCGATTATTATTTTCTTCCAAGTCACCGCGTCCTCGTCTTTTCTGTATTTTATCGTCTTGTACGACGGCAATGCCAAGAATCTCATCCACGGTGTGATCTGAGACGAAAACTATCTTGTAATTTTCATAGGTATGCGTGCAATGCCGTTTAAACCATGCATGGAATACCTTGTACAGGAGAGCGGTTCTCTTTATGCCGTACGGTGTAAAAATCTCAGCGATTTCTTCGGGGGTCAATTGCTCGGGACAGTGAAGCAATTTCTTCGCCAGAGCAAGCTTCTTCAATCGTTCCTCGTCGACCACTTTCCTTTCCTCGCACATCGAGACTATGGGGGGTCTGCATTCTTCGGGAATATAGACGCGAGGCTGGCTTAGTTCGCAGATCCTGTCGGAAGCCTCGTACTCGAGGGCTGCTGGGGAGACTTTGTAAAACACCCGACCATAGTCGCACAGCTTCACGTTTGGCAACGCCAGAAGAATCAGTCGCCTCCACGGGACGATCGTCAACGCTGACTTCGGAATTCTCTGATCCAATCTGCAATTAATACTCGGATCGGCCGTCTTGCGGGGTGCCGCCAATATCTTCAATCTTTTGCGGAAACAAAAGAGCGGCATCGACTCTCGGATCTAATAAATCGAAGAAATTCCTAAGAAACGCACGGAGCAACTTTCTACATACTTTCTCACGTACGATCGAACGATAAGGAAAATTTGAAAAGCAATTTTTTAGAAACCCCGACAATTTCACTGTTTCGTGTATTTTACGAACAAGTAATGCAGGTATACGGTATTCGTCTATCCGTAATTTTTTTCTACTAACTATTGGCTCGGGTTCCGGAAGCTTTTTTGGCTGAGCATTAATCTTCGCCCAGGCATTGAAACGTGCCCAATCGGCCGGTGTCTGCAGCCATCCTTTCAATTTTTCCGTAGGTTTTCCCGCCCTGAAAAAAAAACGTACATATGTACATATATTCCGATCTTTTATCTACGTGAAATGAATAATCGAAATTTCCAAGGCACGACAATGAGTCACAAACGTGTGCGTGAAAGCAGAACTTGGAGAGAAGGCAGTGTGTGGGTAACAAGTGTTACAGTCGAATTGCAAACGTGTACTATAAATACTTTTTGTTCTCTCAAATTCATCGTTACCGTTAACTACGCATTAAACTGCGTTATTTATTTCTCCCCTGCATATATCAATTATTTGAGACTTCTCAAGACACCATAACCTCTGAAACCAAGTTTGCATTGCCCGAAATATTTAACGTAAGAATTCATTTACCTTCCTTTATCTTTCGACTTGTCTATTCTTTTTAATCTACCCGGTGCTGTTCGTTTAGCAGTCGCAGTTTTCGGTTCATGTCCGCGTCTTGCAGCAGCCGCGGGTGATTTCTTAACTTTTGGTGGCATATTTCAAGATTCTTTTACATCAGCTTTTAATCTAACAAAAATTACAATAATAAACAACTGCTGTGCGAAGAGAGTAAAATAAATATCCTCTTTACCTCTATTATCCTTACTTAGTTAACTTGGTGATTTAGGTTAGATTTAGGTTAAATTTAGGTGTTTTCAGTTTGGTGGTAAAAATTACGGGAAACGGATCATTAACGGTGACATGTTTTACTGGAATTCATTGTGTCGTACATCTTCGACGACGTTATTTCATTTCTATTCTTTATTTATCCATTTTTCTGCCGTGCGAATGAATTTTTACAGTCGTCGAGGGGAAATGAAACCTTCGTTTGTTTTTTTTTTTGCAAAAAATTTGCAAACCTTTAAAATTTAACGAGGACTGCGAAACATACACATGTAATAACTATAAAATTCAATGGTTCTTTTAAACGTCTGTTATTATTGCTTTTGCATTTCAGCTATAGTAAATTGATTATAATCGGTTTTCCTGGTCACTAGTGGTGGTCTCTTCTTTCGAGTCGTGAATGTTTCGTGTTGTAGTTCTTGATCGTTTGAAAGTAATTATCGAAATGTTCGTAATCCTCGGCCTGTTTCGAGTAAGTTTTTGGTTTGGCTAGTTCATTCAAACGTTTCGAGCAACGTTTGTTCCTGGCAGCGACGATTCGAGCGTAGGTGTCCAACAGAAATCTCTTTTTCTTCGATTCCTGCGCATCCCTCGATTGCTCGTTGCTGTTTATCAGTTTGTGGTCTCCGTGTTTCACTTGCGATAATAATAAACGAAAATTAATATCCATGTTCGACGGAACAACTAGGAAGAAAATTGTTTATCGAATCAGGATACCCGCTGCAGCTGCAGGAGCACTTTTCACGGACGAGCTCACGGTCGCAGCAGACACATTTTTCGCTGGTTTTCGTTTTGGCTGGGCAAGTTTGTTTATAGAGTCTGTAATTTCGTAACACAAGGCTCCAGATTTCACCTGAAATATCGTAACGATTCAATGTAATGCAATGTACAACAATTCTATTACAATACTCACATTAAACGGATTCCGGTTGCTGGTTCTGTCAATTCTCTCTTTGGGTTTCGCTAATTTCTCATATCTTAGCGCTTTATCCTGGAGAACATACTTGTTCATATTGTTTATTTACAGATTATTCGGACGCGATGTTTAAAATATTTTTAACCAAATGGGAGGTCTGGTTTTCCAAATTTCTAAGGTGGAAGTGACAAGGTGAACAGAAAATGTAGAAAATTACGGAGAATTTTTTCGAGTAATGGTGTCGAGGGGTTAAATGTAATGTGTGACAGTGAAACGATGGTCACGCATCGTGAAGCGGAATGCTCGCTAACTTCAACTCTTTTAACGAATCATTTGTCCACAAACAGAAACTGTAAAATTCAAAGTTCACAGAAAACCCGATTGGCAATAAATTATTAGAAAATGTGAGCCACATATTTTTGAAACGTCCTGGAAACAATCTTCACAACTTCAGCCTTCCAAATGATCGAATCAAAGTAAATACTTGCTTCCTGTAATTTGTAAATTTGTTCGTTCACGAAGGATTTCTTACGCGATAGATACCATACGTCGCCAGGCACAGCGGTAAAAAAACACCGCAGTAAATTAAAAACTTACTGGTGCGCGCCTAGAAAAGTGAGAAGCATCAATTCCAGCAATCAATTGACGAAAACTGAGAAACCAAAAAAAGTAAGGTGAAAGTGCATCGAATAAACGTTCATTCCGGTTCAAGATGGAGTAGTATACCGTGTCTCCTAACCAAATTGCTTAATTAGTTCTCTTCGAATTTGTTAATTAAATGAAATTTCATTTCAGAGACGTCGTAAGAAAACGCGAAACATTACGAAAAAATTAAAGCACATCGATATCGTACTTGGACAATCGAAACAAAACCATCGTTCCGACAATGTAAATTTCATCTCTTCGACTTGTTAGAATGTTTTCGTTATAGTGTAGCGCATTAATGACTCGCTCGACCGTTTGTCACGTTAAGGTAATGGAATCTGATCGAAAGTGTAAAATCGCAAAATCCTGTTCTACGGGGAAAGGAAAAAGTAAGAGAAATTCTACAACAAAATCGAAAATACGAAATTCTTCCGGAATTGTGCTGCCCAAGAAACTAGGAGACCGATTATTTTCCCTAGGTTTGAATTCATATTATTTTCATTAGCGTTCTATTGCCAACTAAGTTAAAATCAATTGTCAATTATTTGCATAACCAGTAACCAAAAGACTAAAGGAATTGACGAACACTGGAAATATAGCATAGTACGAGACGATCGTCGAAATGGATAACATCGAATAAAATGATAAATAACGAACGTATTTAAGAACTTGAAAATTTATTTTAATCGATATGTATAAAAATATTAATGGACGGCATAAGGTACGCGTAAAGTCATTATATAAGATAAAATCTTACCGTATAATTAATGTTAAAATTTCAAAATGGACGGATCAGATCTAAATCTGTAAATTACAAGTGACTACTGGGTATTCCAAGTACTCCTGGCAATGTTGAGAAAAGTTTGTTCGAAATTGTATAAAAAAAAGAACTGTTAACTTGGAACACCCAAGTATCTTCCAAAAACTATGGTCGAGTTATATGCACATTTCGTATATAACATAGCGACAGCAGCTAGACGCATCGTAATCGTCCCGGTGCAGAGTTACATACATCTAATTTTGTTTTCTTTCAATATACATTTATATATTAATTAGATACTCATTGGTAAAGAAAAAATATGCCAACTTTTATCTACTGAACACGTAAGTGAGTATAATCATAGCTATCGTGGCTAATACCGACTGCTCTATAGCTGACGCGCCAGCGTTGCAGTCTACGATCCTCCTAGCTCTCATGAAATCTGGCCCTAAATATGCACTAAACTCCCGTTTCTCCGGCGGTATTACCACCAGTTGTTGCGTGGCATCTTGGAAAATCAGATCGCTGTAAGGCGGCTGGCTGTAAAACATGCTGAAGCTAAATTCATCCTGCTCCTTTCGCCCGTAAAACTGTTGGGCATAAATAAACAGATTTATGTAAGCGTTTATCTGCGTTTCGTTGTATCCGTAATATCCGCCACGGGTGACTATCGCGTTCGCCGTGACTTTTCCTAGATTACAGTGCATGTAATCGGTGGTCGGTCGACGAGTCCCATCCGGGCAAAGTAGCTCAAAGTCTTTCGTGAATGTATTACGCGCCCACGTCTCTCGTCGCTTCCCATCGGTGTTCTCAGCGACCGTTGTGTGCTTAACGAAGGCTACGTCTCCTCCTCCCTCGACTAAACACCGAAACGCACCTGTATATCCGAAGTAATCTTCAGACGCATCTCGCCGACAGTAACGAAAACTCGCGCCGTGACAAAGGTCGCACATATTATCGTAAGGCACCCCTGCAACGTGTAATGAGAATTTCGGTAATCGATGGTAACCGACTGACAACGGTACAACGAATCAACGGATCAAGAATCACCTGTATTATATTCGGTACTGAGCGCGCCTGGCACGCATGATTTACTAAAATATTCAGCAGCGGCGCGAACAGAGTCGCAACCGTAGCCCCTGATCCATGTGTTGGAAATTAGATACGCCAAAGGGTACACCCAACCGGCGGCCGTGTTAATTCCCGTATGACAAGTATACTTGTTCTTCAAATAAGTCAAATCTGTATTATCGTCTTCTTCCTTCGCCACCGCGACCACGTAATATTCCGGTGTGGGTAGATTGTAAACTTCCGATATAAAGGGGATCAGATCGAAACGCAGACCAGCGGTGTATACATCGCTGGTATCCAATACCGCCACATCGGTGATTCTAACAAAACAAAACGATCTAATTTTATCAATTCCTTAATTCTAAAGAGTGTACCTTACCCGGCGAAGATTACCATTTCTTCAAAGTATACGTACCCGCTTTGTATAGCTTGCATGCAATGAATCTGACTATGACCTTTGTAACAATTTAATTCTGGTTTTAATAGTTGCGCTTTTAATGCCATCTGAAACAAAAACGGATCGCAATTAGACAAAAATGCTTTTTAACGGCGCGGTGAGAGATTTTTCGAATCTTTACCTTCATTTTCATACACTTTTCCATTTCTGGATCCGACGTAACGCACAAAGTCATTCTATTGACTGGGCAACGACGAACTCCCAATATCGGATCTAGAGAGCTACCTAAATATCCACCATAAGTTTGATCTTTCTCAGGCAATTGGATAAAATCATGCGCCGAATCCTAAAATCGTACAATTTAATGCGAGGCTCGTCCAAAGTAGTGTAACGGATTTCATAAACGTGAATATATTTACAGAGAAAAGTAAGTTGTGATGTATTCCGTATCTTGGTGCAGATTCGAACAGGTTGAAAGTCTCTATCGGTTGTACGTTCGTCGACTCTGGTTTATCCCACGAATTTAATTCGATACCGTTGTAACTTGGATCGTATGCGTTGCGATTTTCAAAATTATCTGTATTGTATTCGTTCGGATTAATGTATCCGCTTCTATTAAAATTATTCTCGCCGAATCTATTATTATAGCCGGGTCGATTTTCGAAACGATCATCGTATGGTTCGGTCGAATTTTTCGCGTTACGTTTATTCAGTATGTTCACTGCTTTTTGTAAAAACCGTTGATACAAACGACGAGTCTCGATTTTCGTCGCGGACGATGTGACTATCACACGCGATGGAACAGTACCCCAGTTACAATGTGTATATTCATCGACCGACTTGCGCGTGCCGTCTCGGCAAAGTAATTCAAATTGTTCTTTCTTCACAGAATCTGTGAAAAGCAAAAAAATCCTGTTAATAATTTTACAATTTCACGGACGATCGAATGAAATGGCAAACTAAAAACCCACTAAAGTCAAAAGTAGTCGATGTCATTTCATCTACGGTCGTGTGTAGCAAAAAAGCAATTTCTCCTGCTTCCACCAAACACCTAAATGCTCCTTCGTATCCTGAATAAGGATCTGACTTTGTACACCTTCCTCCAGGTATTTTTCCAATGCACAGCTTGCATAACTGGTCAGAGTTGTCACCTAAAATTTAAATTCATTATAAATTAACTATAAACTACATGTACAATTTATTAATATTAATACTAATTTACCTAATGGATTGTATTTATCGATCAATGAATTTACAGCACAGCTAGGTCCAAAATATTTGATAGCAGACTTCACATGATTATTGCAATCGATAATTTCTAAACCACCTTGCTTCATCAGCTAAATTTACAACAAGAAAAAATTGTATTCTTAAATGTACAGAGATTGTTTAAAAATATAGTAAAATAAAATAAAATAAAATTCAGTTTACTATATGTATAGGAATAATCCAACCAGCAAGCATTCCAAGCCCAGCAAAGCAACCCTTTTTACCCCTCAAATCATTTAAGCTCTGAACATCTGGTAACGACCCTTTTTTAATAACTGCAACAGCATACTGATAATTCACGTTATTCTTGTATATTTCTTGCATTATTGGTATTAAGCTATGATATCTTCCAGCTATAAAAATTTCTCCCGCATCCAAAGTGGTTATGTGTGCCTTCTCATGATCCAACATAGCCATGCAGTCTTCTTTGTTTAATGCTTGTTTGCATTGCACAGAAACATAATTATACTCAAAAAATGCTATCTCACGATCAACTGCTCTTGAAAATGCATTGCACTTATCTTGTTCAGATTCTGATATTGTACACCATATAACAGTATTATTGAGATTTTGACCTGTGAATAATAACAAACGATAAACAATCGCATAATTATGTACGCAAAATTTGCTTATTTTCTGATTAGGATCTAACAACATTATTTAAGAAAGGATATACATTACACGAACGAAAGTGAAATTTTATTTGAAATGATAAACGTGATATTCATAAGTAATCTAGAAGACGAAAATATTTTTTATACCATGTATTTGAAGGCAGAATAAACTGAAAATTATTAAGAATACGTTTTTATAGTTTTCGAACGACATTTTTACAACTTTCTTAGTACAAATATCAATTAACGCGGAAGACAACACCCAACACTGTCATACTATAAGCCCTGCTTAGTACAGCAGTTCCCAACGTGATCAATATTCACAAAATTTTCTGATTTTTCTCAAGTATAAATCAGAGAATTATTGATACTTTTTATTATCATATTTAGTAAGAATATTGAATAAACTCTTATTGATTTTTGTTTCGTCCAATTCGTTGTGCAATATGTATAATTTTTTAAAGAAATCCGTGCACAAAAAATAGTTGGGAACTCCTGCTATAGTACGCATTTTACATACACGTTACTTACTATAGAATAAATACGTGTACTCATTCAGAGATGTAACTCATTGCGCACATATTTAGAGGATCTCGATAAGGCCCTCTGCTACTACTACTATTGTGATAGTGTTCTATGTTTCATCTAAGCAATGCAACCGATAATGACACAGTTGTTCCTGGAAGTAATCTTTTTTATTGCCAATGGCATGGTGTAAAAATGTATTTCGCTAATAGCATAACCGAGTAACATTGCGCGTCGATAATGCACGAATTAAATCTTAACGTGTGTCATAATTATGCGTACAATCGATCAGAAGATATGTGTATTTGGGGCAAAGAACATATCCTTTTCGGTCGAGCGACCGATAGATATTTCCTAGATGGAAAAAAGTGCTGTTAGTTAAGGTTCGATCGATGTGTGTATTCAAACTAGTCCGGAAGGAGTATGTAAGAACAAAGTGTCTTATTTTACTAATCTCCGATTCTCGTGCGAAATATCACGAATCCTCAAATAGAAATATTTAACGTATCGATGAAGCGATAACTTTTACGCAATGCGTTTAGCATTAATCCTATTTAACAAAATTGATCGTAAACAAGAACATAGAAAATGAATATGAAAGGCTCAATAATGAATTATTTGAATGAAAATCTATTCTTTCATTAATAAAACCTAATAAGACTGTTCATTCGATGAATAAATTGATTTTTAAATTTAAGATATATCTCTTACATACTTGTTATTCGGCATGGAAGTTATTTGGAAGAGTATAAAATTCAAATACATATTCGCTTGCATTCTAATCACTTTTGTCATTTCATGCTTGATAAGTATCGCCCCTATAAGTATAGGTAAGACACTGATTGTTTCGACATTTTAAATATAAACTACAGAATGTTCAACAAGTACATGGAACTTACAATTTTAGATGAATGCAAATGTGAAATAGTTACACTGCCAAGTCGGTACGATAATCATAAACAAGAAGACAATGGTGATAAAAGTTATAAAAAATCAGTCCATCGTTTAGCTATACTTGTGCCATTTAGAGATCGCTTCGAAGAGCTACTAATGTTTGCGCCACATATGAAGAAATTTTTAGATAAGCAAAATATAGATTATCATATATTCATACTCAACCAGGTATATTTTTGTTCCAACATAATCGGCTATAAATTAAACAAAGTAATTTTAAATTTAATAATAGCATTTCTGTTTTCATAGGTTGATAGATTTAGATTTAATCGAGCCTCTCTTATAAATGTAGGCTTCCTTGAAGTTAACAAAGAGTTTGATTACATAGCAATGCACGATGTAGATTTATTACCCATAAACGATGAATTATTATACTCTTTTCCCACCAAAGGTCCTTACCATATATCTTCCCCAGAATTACATCCTCGATACCATTATCCAACATTTGTTGGAGGCATATTAATTATTAAAAGGTACATATAGCAATGGTTCTTATTATACATGGTATAGTAAAAATTTGTTGCATCGATGTACTAATAGAAAAATATTTTTACAGAGAACATTTTACACAAGTAAATGGAATGTCTAATAAATATTGGGGATGGGGTCTTGAAGATGATGAATTCTATGTTAGATTGAAAGAAGCTGGTTTAACTGTTACAAGACCGCAAAATATATCTACTGGAACGCACAATACATTCAAGTAAGATAAATTGCATAAAATAATGTACCACCTGTTCATTTAGATATATGTATACATCAATTATTATATTGGTTACATTAATTTCAGACATATACATGATAGAAATCATAGGAAACGAGATATGGTCAAGTGTTACAACCAACGAGAAATTACTCGAAAACGCGATCGTCAGACCGGCTTAAATAATGTTTCTTATAAAATATTAGGTACGATTAAAATGTCCATTGGGGATACTCCATTAACCGTCCTTAATATTTCTCTAATGTGCGATAAATTAAATACACCTTGGTGCGAATGTGATAAGCTGGTGGGATCTAAAGATGGAAAATCTAAGGAGAAAAAAAAAGGCAATAATAACAAGTCTGCCACCGGATTATAAAAACCTATATTGATAAAAACTGTATTTAAAAAAGTATATACATATATGTATATAATGTATTTACACGTTAATGATCCTATTCAAACTAATACAAATATTTTGAATAAAGCGATCATACCGAATAATTAAATGATATTGAGACTATTTAATTATACAGAAGCGTTATTATACTATTGGCGTTAAGAAACAATTTTAAATTTGCAGCTATTAGCTCGGCCTTACCCATGATAAGTGTACGAGGAGGCAAAGTCTAAGAATACGCGCGAAAGTTTCGAGTGTAACGAATATCCTATGGGAATGTGTGTTATAAAAAGTCACTAGCTTCAGCACCAATCAAGATCTTCTTCTGTACTTTGACCAAGTGACTTGTTCAACGCCGAAGCTAGTGATTTTCTTCTAAAGGGAAAAATTAATATCCCGATGATCATTGAATGTCTGATCTAGCCTATATCATAGACAATAGAATATAATTTACAGGCAATTTTCGTGTCACACGGATTGTGGGCTCGCAGGACTCCTGATATTTGGTGCAGGAATTAAAACTAAATAAAATTGTGAATAGTAGTTATTTTAGAAGCAATTAAAAATATTACTTTCACGAACGAGATATGATCGTTCCTAAAGATGTCGATGATACGATGAAACATCTATTTTGTACTTATTCTATGGCGATACTATATACATACGAGGAAATCGATTTTAACGCCCCCTTAACAGTATAGCTGGTTACTGCTAGAATTTCTGCAACAAGTTGCGGTGTACACTTGTGTGTTGTATGAAGTAAGATAAAAAAAGGAAACGACGTATCTCATTATATAATAAACATTCATCAAATTGTATAATACAACGTCGTGTAAAATTGTTAAAAAAATTAATTATAATTTTTGTTATAATTTAATTAATAAATTTATATTTCGTTACTCCTAAACTATTGCAGTTTATGAATATATAATATGTACATATATATATATACATAATACAAATTCTCAAAACAGTACCATATGCACAATTGCAGAAAGTGATGATAAAGTCACTGTCTTCGATTCTAATAAAAAATTAAATAATTACCGTTGCTTCATGTTATATATTTTGGACAATGAATGTGTGATCGATTGCGTATCATCGATTTGCGTTATATTTAAAAAATAATTCAAACAGCGGACATTTCGATTAAAAATATTTTACGTCTTCTCAAGTTTCATAATTGACTGCATCTGTTTATCCCGTTAGAAGCATAAATTTTTATTAAGGCGTTTGCGATAAACTATTTAAAGATATGAACAATGATAAACAATTCTACGAAAAAGTGAAAGTTTATCTGAATACTTTGCTACAAGTGGCTCAAGGTCGATCATCGTAGTAAAATCGATCTATAAGAATTCAATAGCGACACAAGTAAATACCCGTAGATCACGATAAATTCAGATAACCAGAGTACTTGTAGATACCGCGATAATATTTTTGGAATATCATACCGTATTCATACGCGAGTGACATTATTATAAAAAAAGATGGGTGCCAGCAATTGTAAAGGACTTCTTCCAGGAAGTTCTAGAATCACTCCAGACAAATCGTCGAAAACAGGTGTGAACTATATTTAATAAAAAAGTATATATTCACAATTACGTAAATATTTCGTAATATAAATCGATGGTAAATTTGAGCAGGTACGTATGTACGTACGCTGATGTCCTTATAGGCATAAATGCGTAGTTATGTATACGCACATACAGACGTAAAAAACCGACCACTAGAATTGGCCTTTTATATAAATCTATTTCAGTGAAATTCTATCGAATATTAATTACAATATTAGATCAATTTAGTACAATTTATGTTTAAATTTGCAAGTAGATAATTACTACATAAAATTGAATCGATATTCTGTTCGTGTAAAATTTAATCCAATGAGGAGTGTTCCCACTGATCGATTCTTATATTCTTTCATGAATAATTAACAACGTCACATGATACATGAAATCCTTCCTATTCAATAATGTCATCGTTTACTGACTATCTTTGTTCGTTAAATTGATAAAAAATATACAAACGATCCGTGAAATTATGTAGTGGAATGTAAATCGCCGTATACAATTAAATTGCACACGAAAACGTAGGTAGAAACGATACATACGTACGTACATAAGCTTATATGATACTAACTCGAGTATCACTGCAGTTTTTTTTTATAGTCGTATACTATTTTTAACGAGAATCCAATGTTGATTTTAAAAATTCTTCACACTACGAATAATCGGTGGAATTTTAAACAACGTAACAAATAGTAAAATACTTTGGCAATACACACACGCACACATATGAGGCGTTTATACACCATAAATCGTTTTACACGTTTAGCGTGTAACACAATTTCTTGTGTTCGTTTAAAGATACAGAAAGCGGGGATGTCAGAATCAAAGTCTGAAAAGAAGAATTATATTTGCAGTGAGTGTAATAAACCGAAAGAAGATATTAGAGCGTCGCGTAATAGTTCAAAATGTTGCTGTAGTTGTGAGTTATTAGCTGCTCGTTCGTACGTCAACGATATTATTTACTATAATATATAATCTTGCATCTAACTATAAGCGAACCGCGATTTATAGAATTACGAGGTATTCGTAATAAAGAATAGGTATTTAATTCTGTTTCTAACCAGGATGACTTACATTGATCTAGGCAAGCCAGAAAAGTATGATTACATCGAAGATGTGGTGTGCAAAGAAACGGATATCAACGAAAATGAAATGAAACTTTTGCCACTTGGAGATGCTGGGACAAAAATTCTGTTGATCAAACAAAAAGGAGAGTTGCATGCTATTGGTACAAAATGTACACATTATGGGGCATTACTTCATACGGGAGCGTTGGGAGATGGAAGGATAAGATGTCCGTGGCACGGTGCATGTTTTAACATTAAAACAGGAGATATAGAAGATTATCCAGGCTTAGACTCTTTACCGTGTTATAAAGTACTCTAACGAATAATCAAATTGATATGCAACAATCTGTAAATATTGTTGGTCGATATGTATTATTTAATTAAACAGGTAAACGTGGACGATGCTGGACTTGTACGGGTGAAAGCAAATCGTAAAGATCTGGATTTAAATAGACGCGTAAAAAAAATGCATGAAAAAGACGTCGATAATAAAACTACAGTTGTGATAGTCGGAGGTGGACCAGCTGCTGCAACTTGTGCAGAAAGTTTACGGCAAGAGGAGTTTACGGGAAACATTATTATGGTTTGTAAAGAAAATACAGTTCCGTACGATAGAGTAAAAGTATCAAAGGTTTTGGACTTTGATATTGAAAAAGCAGCTTTAAGACCGCAATCATTTTATGATACTCACAATATCCAAATGAAACTTGGTGTGGAGGCTACAGGTAATAAATCCTTATAAATTGGTTCACCGTAGTTGAACTAAATTGTATTTTACAATTGTATTACAGGCCTGAATGTAAGCAAAAACGTTCTTCTATTGAGTAATAACGAGGAATTAACTTATAATTATTTATTCGTCTGTACTGGTAGCAAGCCTAGACTGCCAGATACACCCGGCATTAATTTATCTAATATTTATGTGCTAAGGGATTATACAGATTCTCATGCTGTACATTCCAAATTGACACCTAAAACGCATATTGTAATACTTGGGCTAGGCTTTATCGGTATGGAAGCAGCTGCTTATTGCGTGGGTAAATGTGCATCCATTACCGTTATAGGCAGAGGAACGGTACCTCTGCAATCGGTTTTAGGCACAGAGATTGGTAATAGAGTTAAACAAGAATTCGAAGAGAAAGGTAACATATTATTTTGTCGTTTGATTTCTATCAAATTAAATAAAAAATAACATGATATTTTGTTGAAGGTGTTAAATTTATATTTGAAAAGAATATTACGAAATTTGTTGCGAAGGAAGACGACGAAAATACTATAGGTTCGGTTGTGCTTACCGATAACACGGTACTTCCTGCCGATATAGCTATTATTGGAATTGGATCTACATTTTACACGGATTGGATGAAAGATTCGCCGATCGACATGTTAAAAGATGGTAGTGTAAAAGTGAATAAGGTACGGCAGTTTAGCATACGACAATAAACGTTTATCATTGTTAGGAAATATTTAATATTCTGTGTACAATTTTAGTACTTGAAAACTAACGTAGAAAATGTATATGCCGGCGGTGATATAGCGTATGCACCGTTATTTGATTCCGACAATACTTCGGCAGCAATAGGTCATTATCCTTTGGCGCATTATCATGGAAAAATAGCAGCATTAAATATATGTGAAAAAAGCACAGAATTAAATACCGTTCCATTTTTCTGGACAACATTATTTGGAAGAAGTTATCGATACGCGGGTACGTTTATCATTATTTCTTTTCTACGCAAGTAGTAAGCGTAATACAGCATTTTTATCATAATTTGTGATGCATTCAGGGCATGGAAAACCAGACAGGGTGAAAATCTATGGTTCCTTGGAAAACTTTGAATTTTTTGCATTATATATTAAAGATGGTAAAGTTATTGCAATGAGTAGCGTAGGCGCAGATCCTGTCGTATCTGATTTTGCAAATTTTCTATACGAAGGAAAGACGTTGACGGAAGAAATGATCGATAAAAGTCCATTCGGTTGGATACAGAATAAACCGAAAAACTTACTCGAACGATTCCAAAACGTATCTACCGTAAACCCATAAAAGCAAGCTATTTAAGGGTATTTAAAAAACATGCTGTTAATTTTTGTTTTATATTTTATAGAAGAAATAGCTGAAGATTAACAGAGTATTCTGAAATGCATTTTCGCAACTATATAATTTAAGTTATTGTTTAGAAATGAAATTATAATTTTGCGACTTTAAAGGTAAAGTTATGTTTTCGTACGATATATATATTTTACTATACGCGTGGATCGCGTATGTAATACATTCAAAGTATTTCTTTTTTTATCCATTTAAATACATTTTATAACGGTATTCTATACACGATAGTACCATTGTAGAACATGCCTGAATAAATAGTTTATACCAACAATAAAGAAAAAAAGGAATAGAAAAAGATACGTATTTATCATCGAGTTACCAGTAAACGATCAAATACATTTAAGTTTAATAAAACAATAAGGTACTATTACCCATAAAATACATATCAATCCCAAACTTCGTTTACCATTAAATGATTTAATCGATCCGCAATAGTAACCTCCCTGTTATATTTTGCATTTTTTTCTTCTTGCCATTGCTGTTGTACTTTAGCGAGTCTTATTGCTTTAAATTCACTCATATGACCATGGGATTGTTGGACGGTAAGATAGGGATGCCTCAATAGTAACATGTTTTGTTCCTCTCGTTCAAGATCGATCTTAAATTGAATTATATCCTTCAAAGTTGGCTTTTTTTCGATGCGTTGCTTCCTGTATATGTAATTATACGTATATACACCACTCGCATTGTTTATAACAACGTGCGATATCACGATACAACACTATCACAAACAGTTGAAAGAATACCAATCTCTTAAAGTGAAAATTCTTTTATTGAAATCGTAACAATAATTACTTTAATATGTTTCGTGCCGATGCTATTCTCTACCACGCTTACGTTAATATTTCTAACATACTACTCGAGTTAAATAAACGTTAAGTTAAAAAAGTGCAACAATTACTCGTACATACCCTCGATATCGATACGGAATGTTATGAACTTTATAAAAAAGTATACTCGTAATACGCATCTCGATTAGAGTTTTCTTTTCTCTGGATACGTTTTGTTGTTATCGTTGTTTGTTATAACCGCAACTTTTAACTTATGCAACCTCCTGCGTTTGATGCCTACTCTTCCCCGGCCAACGAATACGAACTATGGAATAGAGTGGTAACCTCAATATTGAATTTTGTAGCCTAACCGGAAAAAGTGCTCCTCGCAACGTAATTTGATTGGCTACAATCATTTTACCATTTTTAACAATTATATGAATTTTGAACTGTTGATCATTGTCACTCGCAATATTACCAACAGATTCAGAAATGAATTTTAATCCCTTTCATAGTCAACTACTACTGGTTTGCCTATCAATACTAATTCAGTGAATAGTTTCTCACCTGACCGCCATCCATGAGAAAAGGCCGCTAAAATCGCCTCCGAATTTTCAGATCGGTATGGCAGTCAGATTGGGCCGCGAAAGTTCATAAGGTGAAAGGTAAACACACGCATGAAATTTCCAGGAACCATTACTGGCCTGAAATTAGATTTTATTTTTTTTCTCGAAAGTTCGTAGGATTTCGGGGGTACGTCTATTGATAAAAAATGATCGTAATTGATCGTCGCAACTAAAAATAATTTTTCCAGAATGTTTTGAAATATTTTAATTTCGCCGGAGAATTTCGTGTAGGATTTCAGGAGTATGTGTAATGACCAAAAATGGTTATTGGCGAGGAATGATCGAACAAAGTCAGAGAGATATTTCCATGAAAGAATTGATCTATTTTATAGCATTTCAAATTCAAGACAAAAAGAAAAGGTGATTCTTATAATTAATAACAAACACGTCGTCAAATTACGAAGGAGGTTCACGCATTCGGTTTTCGCGTTAATAAGCGAAATTTATTGGTTTTCGTCGCCACTGTTTTTCATATTTGTCGCCTGCCTGCCTGTCTCGCCTCTCTTTCTCCCCATCTTCGATTTACCCATTTCGGTTCGTAAGTTTTCGATATTCGTTTTTCATTTCCGCGTTCCCCGTATTCCCCACTGTTTCATGTTTGTGAATTGCACGATAATGTAATATTTATAATAAAAGTTTGTAACTTTCGTTCTCGACGCTCGCAAGTAAAATTAAATAATAAAAATAAATAGAGAAAGACAGATGGACAGATAGACAGGCACGTAGACAAACGGTGGATCATGCTATCCAATAAGTATCGTGTGGCATTCGATTGACTCTCGCGATCTACGCGCAACATACCTCTCTTTTCACTTGCTCTTGTTTCAAATATATTGTAATCGAATTTCTAATCCATTCTGCTTCGACACCCTTTAATCAACCCGAAAACGTTGTCAAGTTTGCGATCGAGCACGCTTGGTCGCGTATTAGCTATCGGTACCGCTAGCGACAAACTCCGTTTCGTTTGCTTTTCATTCGAATGTCGATACACCTCCCGTTAATTTTCCGCCCTTTGAACACTCTGTTTAGTTTTCTAATCGGGGGGAAGCTGGGTGCCAGACTCGCCACTCTTTCCGCTAAAGGTCATCATACAAAATAATTAGAAAAATGTACAAAAATTCATAAAAATAGTAATAGTTACACAGTACAAATTACATCTGGGTAATTAGAGTAGTGTGATCGAGAAACGAGCATGAAAAATTACGATTCCTTACTAATGTTTCACTCGTGACGCACTTTGTTTCTTTTTTTTCTTTTTTTTCGCGTGTACGCGTACATTGCGTTTTACCGTTTCTTTAGTTGGTTGCTGTCGCTTCTCACCGACGCGTTCGTTCTTTTCACCGTTGGTCGTTATTCCGACGGGATAAACGGGAAAACGCCTCGCGCGATAATTGTTTCGTTATTCATAACTAGTTACGTTGTTGCACGCGTACATAATAGAAACACGGATATTGGTACGCCAAATGTTCGCCTTCTGGGTCTTTATTTGTTCCACCGTTCTCCGTTGGTTCTCAAGTTTTTTTGTTTTTTTCTTTTTTTTCCCCCCCCCCCCGTTCCTCGCTGTCACTGGATTTTCTTTGCAATAGGTCACGTTTACATACATCTACACGTATATCAGCGCAAAGTGAGTTTTGCTGCACCTCCACTGTTGCCGTTTAAACTACCGATATCAGTAAAAAATTACTTAGAAAAACGTTCCAGTTATTATTAATATAATAATTGCGTCTGTCGATTCGACGGCTTAACACGGGACTAATGGAAATCTAGATGAAACGTATTTTTCGTCTTGCTCCGTACTTTTTGTATACACATCGCGTCGACGGTTTTTCGCCACCGACGATAATAACATATCGCTAAAGGTACTTTACCATTATTTTAAACGCGTAACCGGTATCGTCGCGGCCGCGAGTAGAAGGAGAAATTCACGGTCCTGTACTTTCTATCATCTAGAATTGCGAATTATTATATTAACGATAACGGGAATCCTATCTGCGGTTACTAAGTCAGGAGTTTGTTTACGATTTCTAACAAAGAAATGCATAACATTTATGTTAACGATAAGTGAACGATGAAAATGCGAGCACAGCAGAGTGAATAATATTTCCTACGTGGCACCGCACGTGTATCGGCCTCGTTCGCTAAACACGATCTTAATTTTATTAATGCCACAATACATAGCCGCAGGCCGCACTGCTCTTTGCGACGTGGACACGCAGTATGTACCTACTCGCGTACGTAGGTACTCGCGAGCAGTTCCGATCCTTATCCTTACCCACTAATACCGAGGGACTCGGCGAACCAGCCAATACACCTACACCATATCTCGATTCAACACGATTCGGACACCAAACGGTACAGACATTTTCGGACTAATCTCGTTCAGTAATTCCTAATCTATCTATAATAGAATAAAAAATAACTAAAACTAATTATACGTGTCTGTAAACTAGATATTCTTTGATCCACCGTAGTCCAGAAAATTCAAGGACACAACGATTCACACGAGTACATATGGTAGATAGTATAGAGCAACGATGTGTGTACCAATGGTGTCCGGAGTGTTGAATCGAGCAACCCTTTAACGATTCCCCGATTGTTCGTTTAAACGCCAAGAGAAAAACAAGGTTCACTCGTTCTACCGGTCCCTCGACTTTTTTCGAGCGTTGCCCCGCGCGATAACATTCTTGCTATCTTTAGTAAAAAGATTCGAAAAAGTAGTCCCGTAACGGTGTGAAAGAACATAGAGAATCGCGTGTAGCCGAGGGTATTAGTCGCTTCGTGATAATACGGAAAGTCAGGGAACGATAATAAAGGGATCGCGCGCGACGAGGATGAAGAAGCTAGTGCCAGTATTTTCGATCGGGGCCGGTAACCGTTTCTCGTTTTACTTGGACCAGCCACCATTTTTACGAACGTATTGTATATCGCAAGCTTTCCAGAGGCAAAATCCTGATAGGAACGCACGTCGCCTATCGGTGCCGGCTAATGCTACCTTTATCCATTCTGACTACACAATTACCGATCTATACAAGTATTTTTATTCAAGGAGCATAGTAAATAGACTAATACTAGCACTGGCTTTCGAGTTCCGTGTTTCTCTCGCGCCGTCTGAATCGGTGCAAAAGCTACGCAGGTTTATCGCGCATTTGTACAGTTACAGTTACACGGCGTACAACGAAACGCAATTAAACGCACCCACGCACCGAGAGCACTCGCGCGACACACGAACCATCGATTCTTCCCTTATCGACGCGTTCATATCGTCGTCTTACGCTCGCAAACTCGACGTTTCGACTTTCTCTCTCTCTCTCTCTCTCTCTCTCTCTCTCTCTTTCTCTCTTTCTCTCTTTCTCTCTCTCTCTCTCGCTCACACATTTTTGCTCCCTTTGTTCGTTTCTCAACATTTCCTGCCAATCACCCACGATTTCCACTCCGTCGTTCACACGCGACACGGCTTAAATATACCTATAACAATATTTTCTGCGACCAAAAAAATAAACTCTATCGTGTGTGTTATTGGCTAATTAAGCTACAATCATCGATCGTTTCACGGCTACGATTACGTTTAATCGATTACGAAGGTATCGAACGTAAATATTGCACGTATCGCGTTCGATGGCGCGGTGCATTCTCTACGATATTTTACACGTCTTTGCTTCTCCTCTCTCTCTCTCTCTCTCTTTTTCTCTCTCCCACTCCCTTCTTTCCATCGCTTCTTTCTATTTGGACGAGAGCCGAACGACAGTTCTGAAAAATATTCGAAGAAGGGAAAAGAAAGTTGTGCGAACCCCGAAAATTCGAATCGAATCCGTATATATTTTGCTGCGATTTTCATAGTCCCATTTCTTCTCCCTTCGTTTCTCACAGTTCCCTAATAGAATACGTTGGCTTTTGCGGAGCCGATCACAGCGTAAACTCGAAAGCACGAATTTGCAACAGACGCTAAACGTTTGATTACAGTCG